GTGGGCATGTCGTGAGGGAGCTGGCTGGTGCCGGAGGTCAGACTAGATGGCCCGGGAGACCCCTTCTGACTCGCTCTGTTTCTATGTTTCTATGAAGGGCTCCACTACTACTATGTAGGAAGGGTCCCACTACTAGCTCTTGCAGCAGTCCTCCTCCTCTGCCATTTGAGACAGAGAATTGCACAACAAAAGACACCATGGCAACTGAAATTCTTCCAAGAGGGCCTGTAAATGGGCCTTCTTCAATCCTGCCTATTGTATCTTTTTGTCTCATCTGTGCCAAATGTGATGCTGCCAAGCATTTTTGGCTCTCATGCATGGCACAACATATCTAGTGTTCATGCAACAACTATTGCACTTTGGAACCTAGATTATCTGTGATATTCTCCACCTCCCAACACAAAATCATACTACTGTGACCCACAATTAATCTGGAATTAATTGCAACCCATTCCCTAGTTTTGTATTTACAGTGGATTATGTCTCTCACAAGCACCCAAGGATGGAGGAAATCTAGTCACATGTCAAGGCAGTTTTCCAGTACAGTCCTATGCACATTTACTCAACGCATTCCCGTCTTCAACAGAACGTGCTGCCTAGTAAGCGTGTTTAGCTTTGCAGCCTCAGATTACTATTTGGCAGCCTGAAAAGGAGTAGAAACATGTACATGAATCTGCTTGCTCCACTGTGCTGGCTTATATCAGCTTTTTTGCATTATAGAGCTACGTTTTTTTTAATTTTTTTAATAAAGAAAATTGTGGCAGAACCAGGAAGACACCCTTTTCCTTTCATTCCTCATCCTCATGCTGTATTTGTCTCCATCTTTTTTTCAAAGTTGTTTTAACAGCAGTATATTAATGTACTATTGTGTTAATGGGTTTATGGATTTAGAGGTATGCCCCTGGAAAAAGATGATCACCTTTTAGAAAATAAAAGCCAATATTGCAGGTGGTGATCAAGGCTTTTACCACTACCTTAGTGTGAACTCATTAGATAACAACAGGAAACAAACAGCTGTATCAACAAAAAGTATAGCTATCCTTGGCTAAAAAAACGTTAAAGTACTGGAAGGCTCTTTTTTCGATTGAAGGAATCGCTACCTCACCCTCAGAGTTCCTCTGCTGTTGGTCTTCTTAGTCACACAAAGGCTCCTAAAATTAACATGCTAGGAGACAGAATATGGCTAGTGTGCATTCAGTAAACTTACAGCCTGCAAAGAGCCCCTCTAACAGCCTACAGAATAAAAATATCTTCAAATATTTCAAAGCAGAAGTAGACAATCTGCTTCCATCCAGATGCATTGCACTACCAACATCTATCAGCACGCCCAACACGGCCAATAGAGACAATAAGAATTGTAGTCCAAAACATCTGGAGGGCATCATGTTGGGGAAGGCTGTACTACACAGCATACAAACATGCTCCATGAGGAGGACAAACAGACTTCTCAGCAGCTGTATTGAGATTCTCCAACAGTTCACTGTAGGAGATCTGGATGACATCCCTCCTAGTGAATATAGCATGTAACTGGCAGAATAAAAGCAAGAAAAAGGCATCTTTTCAGTGGCTTCTAGGAGGCTAGCCATATTGCTATTTGCTGTGTTTATTGTAGCTTAATTTCATTTTGTTTTAAATATTTTAATTGCATATGAAAACTGTTAATTACAAACATTAAAAATATAGGAATTTCTTATCTTTGTTTCATCTCAGTTTCTCCAGGTTGCCAGATTTTCAACAGTGACTGTTACTCTTCCTTCCCATATATTAACATTTATTATTCCTGAATTAGTAAACAGATTTTAATCAAGCATTTTAATTGAGCCAGAGCAACTTTTGTCCTGCATGATCTTATGACTATAAGATTGTATTTTACATCTTTAATTGTAAAAATTAAAGTGATTATTGGTATTTGCTTAAACTTTTGAAGAACTGGTATAACACATTGGAAAAAGAGTTATCATAAACAGTCATTGCTCTGAATGGTTTAATACAAGTTAAATGATCTTCTCAAGGTCATTTTTCCTAGTAAGAATACTATGCAAAATTACTCTGACATCTGAGTAAAATTTAAATTAAGCAGAGCACAGTGAATAGAAAATTTTCACTTTGGACATTTGAATTTGAAGGCTCTATGGGAATTTCTACTAACTTTGAAATTTCAGTGTGACTCCTGCAATTACTTAAATTACACATAAATAGAAGGACAAGAATAATTGCTAGCTTTGTTAGGAGCTACAAAAGTGGGTATGGCTATTTCTTCTTTCCCTTCAGGACACCTCTTTTCCTCTTGCCTTAGCCAGTAAGCTGCTAGGGGAGGTACAGAAAGTTTGCTGCCAGTCTGAACCTACCACCTGCAGAGGGTTATGATATTAAGCTCAGTGTTCTGAATTAGTTTGACTGGAAACTGGAGAAACTGCAAAGCCACCCCACTGGCTGACAGGTTTGACACCACTGGCCTGCTTCTCCAGCTACAACTTACCTGTTCCCAGCGACTGAGCTGAGCTTTCAGAGTCACTGGTATCCTTATTGATAGCTGTTGTTAGTCTGAGCACCCCAAAATCTTGTTAGGCCAACTATTATGAGCTGGCATCCATAGTGTGAAAGTACAGAGAAGTAACATTTTTAGTTTTTTCCAAAGACTGGGGTTTTGAGCAGAACCTGACAGCTATGCTTTCATGAACACTATAAACAGCTGTTACAGTACTTCCACATTGATATGGAAGTATGAAAGCTTGGAAATACTCCCATTAACTGTAGCCTAAATATAGATGTTTGAACAGAAAAAGAGATACTGATTGTTGAACATGAGACATTAGGGCACTAGCAAGTAAAAAGCAGCGGCAGCAGCGAAGTTTGTTCAGTCAGTTCCAAGCAACCTGTTTCTTACCTTTCTCCCTGATATCAGCTTTTTAGATACAGCCCCCAAGTTATCTGCTGGATCAACTTTCTCCAAAGCATCATAATGGCTATTGCGTTAGGCTAGGATATCCAAGTTTAAATTCCATCTAGGCTGTGAAGTTTGCCAGACAACTCATTATAATAGCTCAACCTAACCTATCTCATAAGATAGTTTGACAGATGAAATATCATCCACCAGTTAGCAGTTTACCACCAACTACTGCATAGATTTTTACTTCAAGTGTGTAAGATCCTAGTCATATAGTACCAGATCATCAAAAATGATGTGTAGTCAAATTCTGCTTGGAAGATACTGTAGGTAAAGACACAAGAAAACAAGAAGCACTCCTTCCCTTCTCAGGTAAAATAAATAAGCGAACACACACAGAAGTTAGCAATAGAGCGAAGCACAGTTGGCCAGAAGCACCTTTTTTCTGTATATTTGCGAAAAATGCTCTTGAGATTTCCTTGGGGGTACTTCAGAATTCTCAGCCAGCTGGGACTGACATGCATACAGACATATAACCAAGGGAACATTCTGAAATGTGTCCTCCTTGTCCATCACACTCGAAGCATATGCCATTTTTCATTTTCAAGCAAATATTTTCAGAACTTGTAAAGAGAGCCCTTGGTCTATGGGATGACATACAACTACAATAAATAAATACTAAAATCTGAGGGGATATTGAAATTTGTGTTTGGGCTCTTCTTTAAAATGACAAATTTACATTTTAAAAGGTACAATAGTTACAACATTCACTTCCAATCATCTTGAAAATTTCATTCAGAAGCATAAACTGACATGACCTTCATTTTGTTTTGTGGTACTAAACTAAGTCATTACAATTTCTTAGAATCATTATTCAAGCTATGAAGATCTGGATCTTCACAAAACTCCACTTTGATTTAAGCTTACAGGAAATGCAAGTGAATAAAATAATCCAATTATCCCAGGTAAGGAATCATTCAAAGAATGGACTCCTAATCCTGATATAAAGTATTGCTTTAAGAGCTTTGTGTGTGATTATATGGGCCATAATCACACATAACAAGGGAGACACATGATGCATATGTGGTGGGTATTCTAAAAACCCATCCACACATTATCCTCCAGTCTGACATACTCATCCGGTTTCTGTGCCCCTCACCCTTCATCCACAAAGTCACAGATAGTCAGATAAGAATGCCCACTGGCATATTGGTAAGAAGTGGCAGTAAAAATACAAGAACACTTTTTCCCACATCCAGCTTGTGGTTCAGATTCAAGAAGTAATAGCCTTCAATTCATCCAATTATTCTTTGGAACATGCACTTGGGTATTTCATGAGCTGCTTCTAATTGTGTGCTACATCAGTAATGTCAGGAGATATTGAATTCAGAATGCTAATTTGTTCTAGCTGTCCTACACTCAGCTAAAACAAATAGAAGAATACAAGACAGAGAAACACTACAGAAGAGAAATATGATGCTCAGTGAAGAAATTATAAGGCTGTGCTTTCGATCCAGACTTGCCTGGACCAGCAACTGGACGCTACCATGGGAAGGGAGGAAGTAATTTTTGCCAGTTATCATAACTTTCCTCCACTGTCAGAATCTATTCTGAAAAGTTAGGGGAGCCTCTAAAACAGCATGTTTGGTAGCACCAGGGATACTGGGGAAATCAGGGAAACACAGGGACAATGACTCTCTCTAGCAGCAGTCGCAAGTAGATCAAATTTCCTTCCATGAACAGGAGGAAACCCTGCATTTGCAGAACAGCACTTCTGGATCCAATCTATATGTGCATGAGCCCTAATCATTTATCATTGGTTATAAAGACATGATATCCTACATCAAAAGGGTATAGTCAACAAAATCCAACAATATGCACTGGAGATTCTTAGATAACATATGCATAAAGCAACAGTTTAATCAGTCCAACTGTGTTTTAATAAGGGAATGTCTTGAATCATTGTAGATACTGCCTACAAGTTAATGAGTATTTGGTAGTTTACAACTTCTGTTATGAGCCATAAAATCAAAATATACACCTGTTTTAGCAAATATCTAAAAAAAAGGATTAACTTTAATTTTCATGTTCTTCTTAAAAACAGAACTTCATATCATTTTTGGAATGGACTTTATTCACCACTGTAAAGCTAGAAGGAATGCCAGATTGTGTCACTGATTTTGACAAGTGGATTTCAATCAGTACTCAAAAACATTTCCAAAGATATAAAAAAAAATGTGGCCCCCACTTTTGAGTTAAAACATTTTTAAAAGTTGCATAAAACATTATGGTAGCAATAATCAAAAAAAGCATTATTTTTATTTTATTTTTGTTAACATTAGGAACTCTGGTGCTGAAGGACTTTCCAAAGTAAAAAGTTCTCTTTGGGGATATTAGTCAATTAACTTAATAAAATTCTGTTTTAAGATGATTTTTCTTTCCTGCTGCGAGGTGAGTCTGCTCCATTTGAGGTTAATGTTCCATTTATTCCATTTTCTAAAAATAAAAAATACACATCATTAACACTTTCTTCTCAATACAAAACCTAGGAAATTACACAGAAACTTAGATCCTCTTAACATACATTTCTTAGACTTTATTTGGTAGAAAAACAAACTTTAAGGACACAGAACTGTCCTGCTGCATCAGAAAAATGTATAGTTAGCTGAACACCCTGATTCTTACAATGACTTTAAAATAAATTCCATGTATAGTTATGTCCAAAATTTTATAATGACTGTGTGTGCATGCATGAACATATGGAGGCTCCAAAATTATAAGAGAAATCTGAGCAGCCAATTTTGGAATGATTTAGCAAAGAGGGAGCAGAACTACTACCAGCTCTGCTGAGAAGCCAGATCTGTTAGGCACCCATTCTGTCAAGCTCCAGTTGATAAAAAGGGTGCATCCTTAATTCCACCTTGCAGGAAAAGTGGGATAGAAATGTACAAAATGGGGAAAAAAGGCTGGGATGCCAAATAGGTAAAAGCCCCATAAGGTATTTGTCATTTAGGGTATCATCCAATGTGGTCTGCTCATAACTGTCTGAAGTCAGGGAAATGCTGGCACCCAATCAAGTGTAGGAAGGAATGTGGAGCAATGGAAAGTCTCTGTGCTTGTCCCATCTTGCAAAAGAAATTGATAGCCAGATTTGTTATGTCATTTGCCCCTGCCTCTGAGGAGAAGACACTAGGAACTGACAGGATTCCTTATCCTCCAGTAGAGCTTCACACCTCCTTTCCCCCACAGTCTGGAAAACCTCCCAAATTGAAGTCACAGCTGGGGTGGAAAGAACCACATAGGTTGTGAGGGTACAGGGCGGGTGCTCTGCAATCAGAGTCCTGGCTCTGGCCCTGGAATGCAGGAATACGGAAGTCTCCTTCTGATCACTTCAGTCTAAAGTGGAGTAAGAATGTACTGTATTCCTGCAATTGTGCAATTCTTGCACAAGACCCTTAGCTCTTAAGTAACAGGTTGCCACTAGAAACTTGACATTACCTCTAGCCAACAAGATGGTGACTCAGCGGTCCTGTTCTTTAGCACTTTTACCAGTGCAGGCTTAAAAAAATATATATATATATACACACATTGGGCATGCTCAGTGCTGCTACTCTCTTGGCAATTTAAACAGTATTGTATCTGTTTTACAATGATCAAGATACAATAAATTCAGGTCCAACCAGTGCAATGTCTATACTCTTTCAAGATGTGGTCAATGCATCTTGAGAAAATGTGTGTGTGAGGATTTTTAAATTCCTTTCTTAGTTGTTTATTTATCACATTTCTATACCATCCAATAGCCAAAGTTCTCTTTCTGAACCTGTGCTCTACCCCTCCTGAATCTCCTTTGTGGATGCATTTCTATTTTTAATGGAGCTGTCACATTTTACAAATGCTACAAACAACCTGTGGACTGTCCTCAAAAAGTAAGACACTAATCTAATAAAATATGTAGAAGTATTTCAAATACAATATAGGCATTTAAGTTGTAGCATCAAGCTTTGCTATCTGAAAGGTAGCTATTCATTGAGATAGGCCAAGAATAGTGTATACATACTCAAAGCTCATTTATCAGTTTAGAAAACTATTTGACTGATAACTGGATGCACAGTCAATCATGACAATCTTCCTGAAATTCAGGGAACTTGGTATTGGGTTAAATCATGCAGGTTACAGCTTCATAAATGCATGCAGCAACTATTTTCCTCCCAACCCTACCCTGAAATCTAACAAACAGGTTTTGAAAAATACTGATGTACACACCTCTTTCTTTTCTGGAGGGCTTGCCTTTAGCCGTTACAAACTTCTTTTTCACTGGCTGGGGAGGCAAAGAATGTTCTCTCCACCTTCTCAGTTGGAAATTAATGAACTTCCACATCATAAAGGCCTGTGTTAAACAGATGGAAGCCAGCACACTGATTCTACAAATAAGAGACACACTGTAAGGATTCCTGAAGATCCAGAGATGATAAACGTCAGGAAAACTGTCTTTTCTGGGACAAAGTCTCTTGAAAGGCCACTGATGCAGGTCCTGTTATGTGGGAAAGCTATAACAGAAGCCTCAAGTTTAGTGCTAGCATTGATCAACTATAGGGCTCTAACAAGGGTAGTCAGAATGTGCACACTGAAAATGCAATACTGACAAGCTCTTCCTTTCCTGTGCAGTAACCAAACTATGTTGTTATGACAGGAAAGATAACATTTAACCCTCTAACCAGGAATACACATCCAGTTTTACATTCTGAGGGCTGCGTCTTACTGTACATTTTGAACCAAAATAGGTCACTGAATATCTTCACTATATCGTAATGACATACACTATTTGCAGAATGTAGAATGCTGTGACGGTACAAAAAAACATTTCTGGTAAACCAGTGGCAGTGTAAACTAGGCTTTTTGATGTAATGTTTTAAAGCAAATTAAAAACTATTCAAACATGTGTAGGTAGGCCAAAATCATGGTTTTACAGCACTGTAAGAATGAAAACAAAGGCTTTGTCAAATCTGGCCAATGGTCCACCTAATTCAGCATCTCCTTCTAAGCAGCAGCCCATCACATGCACCAATTAATTTACTGGGTCTTTGTTTGCCAGATACCATGGATGTTTGAGTTTCTGTTTTAATGCATGGATTATAATGCATCCTTCATGGATGTGTATCTGCATCATACCTGATTGGTAGCACATTGAAATTTCCAGTACTAAGATCCAGTGTTTGATTCTCTGCTCTCGTAAGGCCAAATCCAACAGTAAGGACAGAAAGGATCAATGTTAGGAGTCTTCCCAGAACAAAGAGAACGGCCCACAGTGAAAACCTAGGAGGAAGAGAGGAGATGTTCATATCTCATTATGATACTGTAAAAGATTTACAGCCACAATCTTAGAAGTTGGTATGTCAATTATCTTTAGTCTACTGTCCACTAATGTGCCAGAGGCCTTCACACATACATTAAGAAACAAATCAGGTGGCATGCCTGCTGATGAGAGCTGGCACACAAACACATCACACCAGTCCTGCACAGGCTACACTGGCTGTTAGTTGCCATCTGGGGCCCAATTCAAGGTGTTCACAATAACATATAAAGCCCTAAACAGCTGGGGGCCAGGTTGCCTGAAGGAATGCCTATCTGCATATATACTAACCCAGTCACTGAGATCATTATCTGTGGTCCTTCTTGGCATTTTTCCTCTTAATGTAGTAAAGGAGGAGATGGTGAGGAGAGGGCCTTTTTCACAATAGAGTTCCAGTTATGGAACTCTCTTACATCAGAGATGTGGATGGTGCCACCTTTTCATTTTTTTTTTTAGGCACCAATTAAAAACTTCTTTTTTTGCCATTACTTGGGTGGGTGAGCCCTTTGTCTATGGTTCTACTAATTTCACGTTGTTAATTTCTGCTGTCTGCACCAGCTTTTACCTTTTGTATTTTTATTTAATTTTGCTTAAATTTACTAATATTTTGAAAAATTATTTAATGTACTGATTAATTTAACTTATTATTTAATTGTATGCCTATTTTAATTATTGATTTTAGTTTTACTGGGGTTTTTTACATTATATACTCTTTTAAATGTATTATGCATATTATGTACCATTTTAATTGCTGCTGAAATATGTGTGAGTCACTCAGAGCCTTATGACTAATGGGGCAGCATACACATATAATAAATATATAATAAATAAATTTTAAAGCTCTGCCTGGTAAGACACAGCCTCACTCTTTCTGGGACACCCAAATAAGTCCCTACAGTGGTGGTGGTAAGACCTTTATCTCTGTAGAAAGGAAACAAGTCTGAAAGAGAAAGGAGAAAACTGGATAGATAAGATGGGATGAAGTTTATATAGTGATCTGAAAAAAACAAGCCAAATATTTGGCTATAGGCTGCTAGTTTAAGTTCACCATTTAAAATAAAAATAAAACAGGCAAATCACTACAAAGCTTATATCAAGATGTTTGTTTAGGTTTATATAAAGCCAGGTATTCGCTGAAGGGTCCTTTACTGCATGCAACTGTTAACTGGAAATATTCATGTGGTATTTCTAGATGCACTAGAAGGAGCAAACACAGTGAAGTACTTACCCTTTCTGATATTTTTCGTCACTGAAGTAGAATAGTCTGGAAATGTGGAACAGAAATTCCACAACGTAATGTAACACAAGAAGGACAAGCCCAAGGTGAGTCAAACTATTAAAACAAAAAGAAACAAAAGTTTGTTAATTAGTAAAGTGACACAAAATATCAATTCAGCTAGCATTTCATTTGTAATGAAATAAGAGTTGATTGCATGGAATGAAATATGGTACATTCATTCATGGCACAACACCGGAAGTTCAGTTCCCCATGTCTCCTTTAAAGCGGGTTTGGAAATGAAGCACACCCCAACATATTAAAGGTGACTGAAGGGTAAAAATAATTGGAATGAAAAAAATAATTGAACTTATTTTTATTACATTGCATCTTGTGAGGAATCAAAAGCAGCTTACTTAGTTCTCCTCTAGTCCATTTTTATCCTCACAAAGATAACCCTGTGACCTCACAGGTTAAGCTGAGAATCCATGAAATGCCCAAAGTCACCTAGTGAACTTCATGGCTAAGTAGGGACTAGAACCTGGATCTCTCAGTTCAACATTCTAACTACCACATCACACTGAAAAGTGAAAAGCTTCTTATGGTTTCCCTGCCATTTGAGTTACTGCTAATGGGCATGGGGTGGGTGCTCCTGGTTGTGGTGCCACAGTTCTGAAACACTACCCCGATGCAGGTCCATCCACCTCTGATGTTATTGGCCTTTTGAAAATAAGAGAAATGGGCAGAGCATTTGGGGAAGAGGACTTGTTTGATGGCAATTGTATGCCAACTGTGAATTCTACTCTTCTTGCCAATAGTACTTTTCATAGAGGGCATTTTAATGCATTACTATTGATTTTTAAACTGACAATCAGGTGCCTTGAGGGTCCGACATAAAAGTAGATACAAGTCAAAGTAAAAATGTAAAAAAAGTTAGCTTTAGCTATGATGCAGAAATTCTATTGGGTTAGGGTTCTGAGTGAACGCTTTCAATATGTATTTCCCAGAGTAATGTGTGGGTCATAGTGGTGTTCGGCTTTGAACTTTGCAATGCAGCAACAACAAAAAGCCCACATTTTCCTTTAACTTATAATGAATTGCTCAAAGGACTGCCTTTAACTCCCTGCACCTGTTTTCTACCCCTTCAAGTGCCTTGAAATGACTGGATACCTTGCTAATGAAGCCAGCAAAACAACTAGAGGAATGGGACTTGAACACAGGTGGCGTGAGCTTATGTGGACTCCGGGGGATGGTGGAGGACAGGAATGTTGTCCATGGGGTCACAATGGGTTGGACACGTCTTCGCGACTAGCAACATTTTTAAAGGTGGGAAAACGGCATAACATACAAAAGGTACTGTATCTCCTTTTATACTGAGCTGGAGTACCCATTCAAGGCACATTCTATAGTCCAAACTCAAAAATGAGCTCATTGCCTTCATTTGTTTTTAAAAGGGAAAGAAAAACACGAGGCAAATAACATAAGAGGAAGATAACATGAGGTAATGGGGCACAATCTGAAACACTATCTTATTATTACACTTTTTATTGTTATTGCACTCCTTCCCTCTATGGAGATATACGATAGCAGCAAAATAAGTGTGTCACTTACTTCAACAGATAAGCTCCAGTAATATGGAAAAGATAAAGTCCAATGTAGACAAGTTGGCGAGGAATGTCCTCCTATGAAAAAGCCACACATTATCTATTTAACAATTCTACAATGAAACTCTATCACCTTAAACATATTTATCACTTTTTGGTATTACCCAATCATGACAATTTTTGTCTTCTGTGCTGCAGATCCTAATAGCTAAATCTGGAGGTTCTTAAAGCTATAACATCTATTCTAGAATAGCATAGCTATTCTATCATAGAAACCCTAGAAGATAACTGTCTCTTTAAATAATATATGTCCAATTTCATTAATCTAAACTTGAAGCACACACAAAACCAACCTTCTATTCCTGCAACAAAAAAGAAATGAAGATTTCATATGCTAGCAAGATTTCTAGAACCTACTACATAAAGATCCAGATTGCAACAGCTCAATGTTTCTCTACACATGAAGTGACTGCATGTATTACTGTTGCTCCAACTATTAAGTGGATACAGTATTTATAGTCAAATGGTACTTAAGAGTGTTTCATAAACACTGATGTATCTTTCATACAAATTCCTCTTCAGTATTTGCTGCTCTGCCATCTTTAAAACTTTAATGTCCTAGTTACTTATGTTATACTGTTCAACCGAGCAGAAAATTCAATTTGGTTTGTAGGCAAAGAGATTTCTGGATAGTAATATGAATTACTGCAATGGTGCAAATATCAGTGTTTGTACTGCTGTTCCAGTTTGCACTGAGATCCTCAAAAGCCAGAGCTGACCAATACTGCAATGTCACTTCATTTAGTCCTACCCCATCCTCCTCTGACTAAAAATAAAAACAGAAGCCACACAATCACCTCTACACTATGGAGAGGTACTGATTTTTTAAGAATGGGTTTATGCTTAGGGAAAACTATGGACAGTTTAGCGCTATGTGGGGAGACTGGAAGCTTTTACTTCATTAATTTAAATATTAATAAGGAGCTTCTCATTATTTCCAAATACGGAGAGGCAGTTAGGTGGGAGAGGGAAGAGAACTGTGAATGGATTCATATTCTATTTAAGCTCCTCCTCATAACCATGCTAGAGGATGTGAACAACATCCTCACATCCAGTTCATGTAATACTTATCCAAGTTTTTCAGCTATCTTAGTTGGGTCCTTCCTTCCCTAAATATATCTTAGATTTGCAGGGCAAAAGAATTAGTTGCCGAACTGCAGTTAGCTTACAATTCAATCTTAGTTTGTCTACTTACACCACCCACTGAATTCAATGGGACTTACTCTCATGTTAGTAGGTACAGGATGACACCTAAAGTTGTTAAGAAGAACAACATGTGACCACCCAACCCTCCATCACAACATGAAAGTAAGGTAATATTACAAAGAATTCAAGACAGGGGCCTTGGAAAGGCAACTTATGAAAGTCTTCTTTCCTATCTCAAAAGCCGCACATGATGTGTCAAAGAACGCTGATAACTTTCAAAGCCAGGCAACAGTCACATAAAATAGATTCTCAATGTATGTGGATAAAACATACAATAAGTTTACTTAAAGCTCTACTACTTGCCTTTTAGATAAGCTAAATTTTTGTACCTACTGTCCGGTTAATTAAATAATTGTTTTCATTTCATAGGCTTCAAAATAGGAAAGTAAAGCTACACTTACTTTCTTTGTCTTCTGGAAATAAAGTTCTGGAAAAGCATGGAACCAGTAAGCTAGTTGAGAGATGTAAAAAAACTTCATCTGAAACCTGCGTAAGGCAGCAAAGGAAAATAACAATTGAAAAATATTGAAATACCTCTTCAAAAAGACCTGCTTGGTTTTATATTACAAAGGAGTATATCTGACACTTTACAAAAAGTATGTTTAGAGCGATTAACAAAAACTATGGGCCACATGCCACTAGCAGAAACATTTCTGGAAATTATGTAAGAACATCAGGACAGCACACTTTTAGCTCATGTAAACATGGGGTCATTTTAATACTCGGAGGCAAGTTATTATGTTAATATGAAAAGCAAGATACCTTAAAGGAACTACTGGATATACACCATCCCACTAATCCTATGACATAAACTTACGGCATTGATGTATGCGGATAGTCCCTCCAGAGAGAGGTTGGATCAGATACATAGTTTTCCTGAAAACAAATGTATCCTGTTAGTATTTCTCCTGGAGATACAGAGCAATCTAATGGCTCCTAGACAGCATTAGGGGCACCATAAGATGCTATGGATATTCTCTTCTGCATCCACAGGCAGCTCTAAGTGTTGAGGAAGAGATCCCATCATGGTTCCTCCCCCATCTCCTCGCAGTTGCCATGGAAAGGGTTTCTTATGAAGCTGCAAAAACAACTCGTAAGAGAAGGAGATGCTGGAGTGTGGAGAGGAAGAGAACTGGGTACACAGGATCTTAGGGGCTCTCCAGTACCCAACCTGCCCACCAAAGGGTAAGTCAGTTAGATGAACGTACAGACCAGTCTAGCTGCTTTCTGTAATCTAAGCTGAGGAAAGGACATAAAATTAGTTCCATCCTCTTCTTTTCTTGCCTGCCTCTTGTCAGCAGGATTTTTAGCTCAGAAAATAAATAAGTGTGTGTGTGTTGTGCGAAAATTTGAAAGGCAATTTACTACATTGCCATTTATGTCAACCAACACAGGTCAACTACAGCTAAAATGATGTTCATATCCACAAAAGCTTATGTTAAAATATGTGTGTTATCTTTTAAGGTGCCACATGACTTTTAAAGATTAGTTTGAAATTTTTCACTACTTCTGATATAATAAGTAACTGCTGTCCATAAAACTCCAAACATTATGGATTATGGGCATTCGGCGAAGGTCAGAAGGGGTGTAGAGGCAAAGACTGCCTTAGTGCTCCTCCCACCCCTCAAACACTTGGATGGCTGATTTTGGCCATCTACCAGCTTGTGAGAATTGCTGGACGCACTGCCTGGGTTTCTCATAGGATTCCAGTCCTTGATGCTTCCCCTCCTCCTGGAATGTCCTGCTCACTCGTTCCACAGCCAGAGCTGTAGCAGCATGGAAAGAATCATGCTGACAGCAAAGACAAAGGGAAGGTGCTCTGAAGTTGGAGCCCCAGGTTCAACACTGGAGCACTTTTCTGAAGTCAGAGCTGAGTCTCTCAACTTTTTCCATGGCTGGCCAGACAGTGTTTACTGACCACAGAACTGCCCCAATGCTAATAAGGCAGTCCAGACTTTCAAATATCTTTTTATGCTAATTGTATAAAGTAAGATACTCACAGACACAAGAATGCTTGTCCCCCACACACAGGAGAAAAGGTAGAATGCACTTAGTTGTCCAGATTCATTGAACTTGCTGTGTTTTGTTTTGGAAAAGTGCATTTTCCTGTTAATTTTCTAAAGGAAAATACTTCTATTATTTATCTGTACAACAACTAAAGTTATCAAGTCAACCAAAATCTAAAATTCAAATCTACAATACATGCATGCAGTCAATTAAGTTTTACTAGTAACAGTGAATGTTGCCCTAATGGATAATACTTACATCTAATACGTATTCTTGAATAATAGCATGTATGATTATTGCCACCAGCATGTAGAAGAAAACAGTAGCCAGATCTTTGATACCATAGTGATACAACGTGACTGTGTCTGTAGATGGTTCTTCTAACAAAGAAAAGACAGCAATATTCAAATATATTTATTTTAAGCACACTTCCCTCCAATTTACAACTGTTACTAAAAACCAATTACATGGTTAAGAGTGTGGGTCTGGTGTTAGTCCCTGCTCATCCATGGAGCCAACTGGGTGAATGTGGACCAGTCACAGATTCTTAGTCCAACCTACCTACAGGGCTGTTACTGTGGGGATAAGAGTAAAAGCAGGAGAATCAGAAGAATGATGAAAACCCCTTTGAGTTCTTTAAAAAAGAAAAGGCAGGATATAAGCCTAATTAATCATCATCATCCACACAGGAACTTAAAATAGTCAACACTTTGCGATTTCTATCTGATTAGTTTTAATCTGAAGAAAGAAGTTATTGTTAGTTTCCATTGCAGGATCCAAGTTATATTTGGTATAGGCAGTGTCAGACCTAATGCAAAATCGTGGTTGGAAAAATATGAACAAACTCTCCTAGATTAGATTTCTATGCTCTAGCAAACCATGGTTCCTTCCTGAGTTTACAGCAACCACTATTTATCATTTTATTAGATTATTGTTTGTGCTTACTAGAAATGCAAACCCCCCAAAACTGGGAATATTTAGGAGAGAAATGATCTACTTCCTTTCTTCTAATTACTATTCCTCCCCCTGCCCCCCCAAAAAAACCCAACCCTGAAAAAAGAACAGCTTTGGATTAGGAAATATTTTCTTTTAGAATGCTGAATAAAATAGTTAAAACAACGTGTTTATGCATCGTAATCTATCTGCAAAGTTTTTTTTTCTGAAAAATAAATCTTTTACAAAGATGAGAACTATAACATTTCTGAAATGAATGAAGACATGAAGAAAATTGTTTTAATTCTCTCTGTAATATTACCAGAATATTTATTTAATTCCTTATTAAAATTTCCCAATATGTGAATACCAACACTGCATTCTGACAGTTTCAGTTTTGTTCTACAGAGTCCTCTGCTTCTGGGCTTGTTCTGGTTAGATGCTAATAGCAGTCAATTAATACAGTAGTTCTAATATAAAACTCAATGTGAAAGAAATCCGTAGGTTATTCTGCCACTAGATGTGGAAAACATCATGTAGGTTATCCCACTATTGTTTCTTTTTTCATAATTACTTGGGTCTATACAACTTACTGCCACAATTTTAAAGTTCTTAATTAGAATTCACCACCAGGGAATGTTGCTTCAGCTATAAAACCTTTAACAAATGACACCAGATTAAAACCTCTCTAGCTAAAAGAAACCCAGTAGCCTTTGGCATAGGCACGAAACTGACATCATACATAGAGACAAACTTTCAAAATAAAAAAAAATGGAAATTATTTTCAAACAATACAATGTCAGCCTTCAAATTATAGGCTCAGATTGTTTACAGATTCTAAGTTTAATATGGTTTCTTCCTATTCCTTTTTCAGCTAAATAAACTCTGAATAGCTTTTCTTTCAGGACACACTTTTCTTAAACTCCACCACATGAACAGGAACAGGATTAGGAATATTCCTATAATGCCTTTCAAACATGAACAGATACTGTATATTAGTCTTCTCTGGCCTCCACTTCTTAATCCTCCTTTTGCCTTCAAGCATGATTCATATGTTTTATAGATTAATTACTAAAGTTTCCCCTAATAGAAACCTAAAATATACTATGTGTAACTTGCTTAGCTCATAAAACTATGAAGTCTGATATAATAAATTTAGCTTGGGTTAAAAAAATTAATTGTTATGATCATTTTGTTAGCAAACCAGGGGAATATTCCTAAAGCAGCTTTCCCTGACCTGGTGTCCTCCAGGTGTTTTGGACTACAATCTTGGCATTCCTGACCATTGGACCAAATTATCTGGAGGCCAGTGGATTGGGGAAGGAGAAAACTGAGGGCTAAAAAAATATAAAGCACTGCTATTTCATCAAATCTCCCCCTCTGCTTTTCCTCAAGATTTCAAAATGTCTAGAAAGTTTACATCTCAAGTGCTTGCACAGTAAACCAAAAGGGGGAAAAAACCCAAATCATAATTTGTAATTCTTATTCGCAGGGTATGTGCAAACTATATGGGACAGCGCAACATGGGATGAAGTAGAAAAGTACTGTTTGCTGCAAATCAGGAAAGAAGGGATGAAATAACAATCTACCCAAAAAGAGGGAACAAAGGAAGAAAAAAGTGGACAGTTCTAGCATCTTTCAAGGTTTGTTCATGTAACAGACTAAACGCTCAGCTGTACATCTTAAGGTAGTAATTGCTAAGCAAATCTTAGAACTGTCCAATTAGATGGCAATATATTAGCACACGTGCATGGTGTTTACCACACAAAACACAAGCTTCAACATCTCTTAGAACATTACCTGTGGCAGGAATAGTAACATTGTACTGAAGAGTAACAAAGACAACAGCTACTTTTGCTGTGACCTGAAACAAAAACAAAGCCAAATAAAAAACATACTGCAAACAGCACAGCAAGCAGAAATGCTGCACATTTACTGCTTATCAATCTCCATTAAATTTGGTGAGATTTATGCCTGAATATATACATATAGGACTGTGCTGGAAATCAGAGAGATAGCAGGGCAGCATTTACCAATAGTGCTTCAGAATACTCAACTAGGCTGAATGGAAGATAATCAAACTACACATAATTGCTGCTACAGCTAGTTTCAAAACACATTATAGTCCAAGAACACAAATAAATGCCCAGACATTTCTTTCTAGACTACTTGCCTAGATATTCCTATTGTTAACTGAAGCCAAAAGAACCAACATCTGTAAATGTCCTTATCTGGCACATGGAAGCAATTTTTCTTGCCACAGCAGCCCAGGAGAGCAGCTACTAACAAGACTGTTTCCAGAGGGGTTACTGTGCTAGTCTATTTCAGGGAAAACAACAGAGAGTTTTGCAGCACCTTAAAACTAACAGATTTATATGGGCATAAGCTTGGACAATGTCCACAAATGCTTATACTAAACCAAATGTGCTATTCTTACTAAACTGGGGCTGTTCGAATAATGAAAGCAACGGCACCATTTTTTTTTCTCAGTCAAAATGCCACAACAGTCATATTCAAATTGGTTTGATTTTTATTAAATCTGCACTGTTCATGGACAAGTAGTATGGGATAAAAGTGTAGTTTCTTCAATTTCTTGTTTCAAAAAGCAAAGGGTACACTTAGCAAAATGATAAAAGCCATGCAACCAACTAAATTAATGCCATGAAAATTAAATTTTTTAAAAAAGACATTTGAGTGTTTGACCCCACCCCACCCCAAAACCCCCTGAGCTGCTACTCTTACTTGGAATTCTAACTGGAGTTCCTTTTAAAGTGCATCATTCTTATGTATTACTTTCTTAATAACTACAGTTACTTTTGAAATGCCTTTATGGGGTCTTAAAATTGATATCTTTATTCCAAAGCAGAGGTAGGCAGGCTACTGCTCTGCAGATGGCTTGGACTACAACTCTTATCAGACACAACTAGCATGGGCTAACAGACAAGACATTCTGGGAGCTGTAATTCAAAACTTCTGCAAAGTGCCAAGTTGCTATCCTTGCTTAGAGCAGCCCCACTTAAATCCTGCAGTTGAGCAAATGATTTGGAAGGCTGAGGTCAGCCACGGCCCGTTTCCCCACACAAACTAGCAAATAAGCAGTGGGGAGAAGGCAAATGAGCAGTTTTCCCTTTCTGCTTGCAATCGTGGGAGCCATGACAGGCACACTTTAGTACGTGTCACACTGTCTGGAGGGGCGTGGGGCAAGCCCGTCCCCCTCCTCCTGCTGTGCATAATTATTGCAAGCGACCAGCACGTCCAGAACTACTAGCGCCGGCTGCGGGTTCACGAGGTGCACGTCACTATCGTCCCCTTCACCTTCCCTGGAGCCGAGGGGAGGGGCCCTGTGCCGCAGCGCCCCATGGGCTTTGTAGTCCTGCCCGTACCACACAAAGGATAGGGCGCACTTCCCCCTCCCATCGCAGCCTTGACAACCAGTTCTGCTCGACACCGCCGCCGCCGCCGCTCCGCCCGGTCCTTCCCGCCCCCAGAATTGTAGTGGCGGCCAAGTCTCCCCGCCCTCCCCACTGCGCTCGCGCTCCGAGTGCCACGTAACCTTGCCGAGACCAGGAACTATCGGCAGGCAGGCAGGCAGGCGAGCAAGCGCGCACACTCTGGAGCTGGGCGTGCGCGGCGGAGCCCCCTGTCCAAATACACGACTGCTCCCTCCCCCGTCACACAACTGCGGGGGTCGCTCCCGCTTTCTCCGAACCTGCAATCCAGTGCACGCCTTCCTCGGAAGCAAGCCCCGCTGTGCAGAATGGGGCTTATTCCCGCGAAGGGTGCCAAGCGTCGTGCCAGTTCGCAGGGGAAACTACATTGCGAGGGGGTGGGGAGAAGTGGGGGGGGGGAGTGAGAAAAGGCAGGCAGGCAGGACAGAGCCGGAGTGGGTGTGAAACCCACCTGGGATTGGGAGAAAGGAGAGAGGAAGAATTTCAGGCCCGATCGGCTCAGGGCGAGGCGGTCATCGCTGTCGGTGGGGGGGATGCCCAGCGCGAACTGCCGCCAGCTATTCCTCGCGTAAAGCCACCATAGTAATTGCTGAGCCGACGGAGACACATCCGCCTCTTTCCAGCCCCCTCCGTTAACACGAGGGGCCCACTGACTCCAGTGCGCCCTCTCTCTTCCACCCTCCCGGTCTGATTTCCCCAACCTGATGCCCTCCAGAAGTTCTGAGTTGCAGAGTTTAGACATCTGGGGGGCACCGGATTGGCATAAGGCATGCTAAGACACTCAAACAATCCGCCAGATGTCTGCAGGGTATACTGTGGAAACGCAGCCTTGCACTCCGCCTGAAGCTGTTCTCTCCACGCGGGACACACCAGTGCTTTCTAATCCCCCTCCCCAAAGCACATTGATAGATTTGCCACCAGAAAGCTCACACTCTTCCCCTCGCTACGAGCTGTGCCAAGCTGCATTTGAAGAAAAATCGATGCATCTATTGGTGCATCTATCTGTATAGGCATTTTACACAAATACTAGCTAGAGCCGTTTTCTCCTGTCGAGCACTACGGGAAGAAAGGCGAGGACAAGCAAAGGCATTCTTCACGGCGACCGCAGGGACTAAAAACTCGACCACCTCTTGCTTCTAGAAACGATTTTTGTCTCGCTCGGGAGAGGCAAGCAGATATCCTCTGCCGCCCCGGTCCCCGACTCACTTTTTACCTACTTAGCTCCCCACCCACCCACCGGCTGCAGTTCACCCCCACACTCCCCCAGCCGTTCTGGGCTCTTCGCCTCATTCACTGTTCCCGTCCCAGCTGGGAGGCCTTACCTCGAACATGAGCCCCAGCAGAAAGATCATAGCCATGCAGGAGACAATGTCCGCATGGTTCTGCACGACGAACTCGTGGCTGAACACGGGCGGGTTCTTGTTGCTCTTCTTGCGGATCGCCATGGCGGGCACAGCGCGGCGACAAGCCCCGCCTCAGCCCGTGCTCCAGCTACCACCACCACTGCCCCGCTCGCGCTCTCTGCGGCGGGGCCTGCGGAGGGAGAGGAAGAAGCCCGGGCGGCCTCTCCGCCTCTTCCCTTCTCTAGTAGCAGCGCTCGAAACCGCAGCTAGTTGTCCCCGCTCCCCCGCCCCCCTCCCCCGCCCGGAAAGAGGGGCCTCGCTCCATTCTGGCAGGCTCTGAAGCGTCGCAACACCACCACCTTCCGGCTAGGAAGACCAAATCTGTAACTCTCTGGTGATTGGCTAGGAGAGGCCACAAAGGTGGAGACTAAAAAGTCGCTAGGCCTGCTCTGCCAACAAAAACGGTACTGAAAAGCGAGGCTCCTGCACTGTTCGAAAGGGACATAGAGCTAGGAAAGGACTATTAGAACGAAGTCTACTGTCTGAGATTATTCCGAGTTTATTAAGTGCCTCCCTGTTAAAGAGTGGTGAAAGTGCAACGTGTCTGCAGAGCAGAAGCAGAGAAAGCGATTTAATGGGATTCACCTTCACTGAATTTGGAGGGATTGCTGTCGGTCTGCTCTTTAGTCTCTCTTGCAATGCAGATGTGTAAAGACTGCAAATGGTTTCAGCATATGAACGTTGTGACTGTTTACTTGAAATATGCTGGAATATATTATATTGAATCTATAATATCTTTCTCTAAGACTTCCATATACTTTAAATATTTAGTCGTCCCTCCAAATAACTCAAATATTCTGTTGTCCCTCTGTTCGGCGCTATGGGGACATGCGCTGCTTATGCTGCAAACCTTTTGTTATTTTGCTGGCACAGACAGGCACAGCCATCTCCCAATATTAGCACTTGCATACCCTGAAGTGGAAAACAACTCCATGAGTTGGAAAGCAAAATTTTCCATCTAACCTTCCTCATCCGTAACCTTAAAAAAGAGAAAAGTCATTATGCTTCAGTTAGACCTCGAAAACCCACTTTTTAAGAACTCCCTTATCTTCATTCTGTGAGGAAGATTGGTTTACTGCTTGCTGCAGGCTTGCTTGTTTTATTAGGTAACCCAGCTGAGCTCTTTTTAGCAATGGAACTACTTAGGAGTAAGGACACAAAATTTGGAGTTCCTAAAGCATGGGATGGCAGCAGTTGGGAGGCTGCAGGTCAATACCGGCTATTGATAGCCCACCCACAAAGCCATAAAACGACAAAATCAACTTATTTTGGTAACAGAGAGCATTTTTGGGCAAGCTATTTACTATGGTTCCTACTGTTTGGTCTCATTCATGGGATTTTACAGACAATCTCAGCTAAGGTCATCTTCAACAAGTTACCTCTTACATTTTCTATGGGTTTTGCATTGTTTTTCTTAGGGTGAAAAATGCATTGAGAAAAGACCAAACAGCTGTACAAGGCTTCCAGGTGATAAACTAGGAGCCCATCAGCAGAGAGCCATCTAGCAGGAAACAGGGTTCAGATGGGGTAGAAACAGAAAGCAGTCATGTCATCTGCTTCAATGGTAGGATCCCTCTGTTTCTTGAAAAAGCAGGAATATTAAGAAAGCAAAAATCAAGACCACGGAGAATTTCACATCTTTAATGTCAACAGTGAAGAAATTAAAACAGAATACAGGACTGGGCAAAATGTAAGACAAAACATTTTGTTGACCACAACTGTATTGGCTCCAGGTATCATAATCTATGATGAGGAAGGGTGGGGCTTGTAGGCTAGAACAAGTGAAGGACCAGAAGTTAGCTACTCCTAAAGAAGCATGAGGAGGACCCTTCCAAAATGCTGCATCCATTTTCTCTACTACCTTGACTTTACACATGCCTACTTAGATGTCCTTACTTAGATGTTCAGCAGAACATATATGCAGGTGATAGTGATAATGCTGCAGCTGTAGAAATATGGGTTTAAGTGACTGGGACAGTACGGATATTTTCCCACCAGCTTCTAGCCCCATGTTTGGAGTAGAATGAGCATATGACTCTCCTCCCTAGTCACTCAGCCCACTTTCCCCACCCCTGCCACTCCAGATGGTGATTTGTACTGATGTAAGATCCTACTTATAAGTAAGGCTACATTTAACAATCCAGCTTTGGGTGGTAAAATGGACTCTTGAGTCACTGCTAACACTTGGAGTATCTTCAAACAGCATGCCATATCCATTTTTTCATACACAGGATTATCTTTTCCAAAACCTGTTGCAAACCTCCATCTAGGCCAGTCTTCCATCTTGTCAGGTTTATGTTTCTGTTTGTTTGCTCAGTCATACATCCAAGAACTATCTCTAAACACCTGTTTCAATTGTTATCTATATACAGTTGAAATCTTATTCCAAACCTTCAGATGTTTATTTCAGTGGTTTGATGTAGAACCCACATATATATCACTTACATTAGTAAAATAGGTGAACATTTTAAATCAGCTGATTTGGAGGGTTTTGGTTCTTTTTATTTTCTTACTCAAAACCTTGTAAAATATATTTAAGTATTTTAGAATAATGATAAAATAGAGTAGAATCACAAAATCAATATAAAACTAATAAATGTGTCAAAACAACATAATATACAATTCACCTATTAAAAAAGTTATGTTTTCAATGCTGCTTCAAGGATTTAATTTACATTTAATTTAATTAAAACATTTCTATGCTGTTCTTTGCAAGAAGCCTAAGGACAGTTTATGGAAGATAAAATAACAATATAAAATACCATTAAACAATCAACAATAATACAAGAAACTACAATTCATAACTAAAAAAGAAGAAAAGAAAATGTGACTTTTAGGGCTTTATTGGTTAATACCTGCACCTTGAATTGGGCCTGGACTTCAATTGGGAGCCAGTGAAGATGGTAGAGGACCGATGTTATATGAGAATAATGGCTGGCCCCTGTCAGCAACCTGGCACCTCTATTTTGTGTCAAATGAAGTATCTGGACCGTTTTCAAGGGCAGCCCCATGTAGAGCCCATTACAATAATCCAACCAGTAAATTACCAGTGCTTATGTCACGGTTGCTAGGCAGTGCTCGTCTAGGTAAGAATGCAGCTGTTGGATCAGCCAAAGCTGAAGGAAGGCGCTCCTGGCCACTGCCGTCACCTGGGCCTCCAGGGACAGCTCCGGGTCAAGGAGCACTCCTAAGCTGCGGACCCTGTCCTTTAGAGGGAGTGCAACCCTGTCCAGGACAGGACCAAAATCACTTACCCAATAGCCCAAACCGCCCACCAAAAGTACCTCCGTCTTATCTGGATTGAGGCTCAGTTTATTGGCCCTCATCCAACCTATTACCTCAGCCAGGCACTGGTTCAGGACAGCCACTGCCTCATCTGGATTAGATGTAAATGAGAGGTAGAGCTGGGTGTCATCAGCATACTGATGACTTCGCAGTCCAAATCTCCTGATGACCTCTCCCAGTGGTTTCATGTAAATGTTAAAGATCATGGGGGACAAAATAGAGCCCTGTGGTACTCCATGACAAAACTGCCATGGCACAGAACTGTAGTCCCCCAGCACTACCTTCTGAAATCTACTGGCCAGATAGGAGCGGAACCACTGCCATGCAGAGCTGCCAGTTCCCAACCCGGCCAGCCTATCCAGAAGGATACCATGATCGATGGTATCGAAAGCCACTGAGAGGTCCAGGAGAACCAACAGGGACACACTCCCCCATCCCTCTCCCTGCATAGGTCATCATACAGGGCAACTAAGGCAGATTCAGTACCGTAACCAGGTCTGAAAACGGACTAAAATGGGTCCAGATAATTTTATCCAAGAGTGCGTGGAGTTGTCCCACCACCACCCACTCCAACACCTTGCCCAAGAATGGGATGTTGGTCACCAGTCTATAATTGATGGCCACCTCTGGGTTCAGAGGTGCCTTCTTCAGGATGGGCCTAATCATCGCTTCCTTTAAAGGGGCAGGGACCCGACCCTTCTTCAGTGAGGTGTTGATAACCTCCTGGACTCAGGGACCAATCCTGTGGCTGGCTTTCGAAAGTAGCCAGGAAGGGCAAGGGTCAAGTAAACAGGTGGTTAGGTATACCAGCCCAAGCATCATGTCCACTTCCTCAGGCCGCAATAACTGAAACTCATCCAACTATGATGGACCAGACGGCGCTCTGGATGCCTCCCATTCTGGAATCAGATCAGTTGTGGAGTTCAGCTCATGGTGAATCTGAGCGATCTTCTCCTTAAAGTGCTGGGCAAAGTTCTCACGGTGGGCTGCTGAGGGTGTCACCACATCTTTATTTTGGCCAGTGTGTGTAAGGCCATGCACCACTCGAAAAAGCTCCACTGGACGGCATTGTGAGGAGGCAATGGAAGCGGAGAATTGCCTCTTCACCTTCACTGCCACAGCATAGGCTGGATAATGAGCACATAAGCATGTTCGGTCAGATTCGCCCTGTGATTTCCTCCACCTGCACTCTAATCGTCTCCCAGCCTGCTTCAAGGATATGGCGCATGGAATCAGTTCACCTAGTATTACTGAAATGACTTTGCTCAAACAAGTCAGGCAGCAACATGGCAATATACAGGAAAGATATATGAAAGTTCACAGACCTTGGCATTTTGGTAAAAGCATTTAAGACTAGCAAATTCTACAAGTTCTTAGGTTGGAGTAAACACACTCCTAACTATAAACAGATTAAAGAAAATTCTACAAGACTAGGAAATATGAGCCAACAAAGGAACAGTTATTACATTGGGCTGCTTAATGTTAACAAGGTGAAAAGACATCTTACAGATCCATGCACTTTTTATAACCACAAACATTAAAAGCAATCATCCTATGTCTCCCATCATGCAATCCACGTATGTGTCAAAATTTGTTATTTATGTGGAAGAATGGAAGCTGTTTTATAGCAAGTCAGGACACTAATTCTTTTAGCCCAATATGACACTGACTGGCAGCAGTTGCCCAGGATTTCAGTTGGGATTTTCTCCAAGCCCTTCCCATGGACTGATCCATGGATGTTCTACAAGCAAAGCATGTGTAGTATCACTGTGCTTCAGTTCATTCTGTGTGTACACAGGAGAGGACAGAGGGGATGTGGTAGATGGCATCAGGTCTTGTGTTCCAAAGAAAATCCAGTCCTTCTGTGTTCCACACTGGAGGTCTATTCTAATACCTCACTGATTCAGTAATCTTCAGTAATCCAAATAGTAGAAAATAGTAGTAACTTGGGTATGTGATTAAAAAATAGAGCTTCTTTGTAATGTTTATGAAGCACCAGCATATTTTTTTCTGTTTAGGGTTCATGGACATAAGAACATATGACATTCATGGTCATATTGATTCTTAAAAGAAAAACACAAACAGCAATTGTATTTAAGCAACAGTACTTTAATTCATTGTGATGAACAGCAAGACTAGGTGGAATTTGGTGGATTCACCCTCACAGTAAATTATTTCCAAACATCTTTTTCAAAAAGGTCAATTTCAGTGCTGCCAAGTTCACAAAATACAGAGCATCACCAGCTCCCATTTGTTTCAAATTTATAAATTGCTTTTCCATCTGAAGTCAGGAGACTTTTCATATACTGTAACAGAAGCACAACAAAAGTAAGAAAGATGACATCTGAAAATGTTATCATTTAAAACACGAGCCCCAAAGAATAATTTATGACTCCTAGACAAAGACTGTGATGTCATAAGATATTAAGGACTTGAATTTTAAGCTGAAGGCAGAACTATGGCCTTGGACTGGAAAATTCCCACTTGGATTTCCATTCCTCACAGCTACCACTCAAAGCTCTGTGGCAGCTCCTCTCCCCAGGAACATGTCACAACCTTGGAAGATGATGCAAAAGAAGGAAAGGGGGCATGCTAGTGGACAGAGAAGGGTGAAGCCATGGATTTGCTGAACAAGTCTTTCAAGAAACAAGCTTTTCAACTTCTGACTTCTCCCTGCCCCTGTCCAAGTCGGTAAGCTAGATCAGTTCAAAGGCCTGCCTAGCTCTCATTATATCATAGAGAAAGATGAAGGGGCTGTAAAGGTTCTGTTGCTCCTCTTCCCTTCTTAGCTCTTCCTGGCACGCCTTCTGATAAACAGAAGGCTCTGCCTCCATCTTCGGAATGTTAATCCTGTAGAGCTGTGCTCCAAAGTTTTATCATAAGCCTTAAGCAGCTAATGATTAAAAAGCACAACTTGAACCTCATATGTTCCTGTTAGTGTGTTGCATCTCAAATATTATCAACATGAGGATACAAACTTCTAAAAAGGCCATTAGGACATTCATTTGGATATCAGATGATCTCTCAGATAATTATGGCTGAGAAGATTTTGACAGCTGACTTGCTCATAGGTCCCAAATAGGGAGCTTCCTGGGAACCATTGATGTGACCACAGACACTGTGTTAGGAAATCCTACTCTATTTCTACTTAGTTTGGCTGTTTCTGCTCATGGGAAGAGTCAAGAGGGAGCAAACTATCCATGTACATCTAATAAAATATCTTTGCTTTCAGGATGCAACACCTATATGTTAATGATACTTACGCACTTTTCTTTCTTTTTCTAGTTTCTTCAAGTGATGCATCAGGTTAATTTCTGCAGCTTTATGCAAATGTTCAGGTGTGTCCTAGATTTAAATGATTCAAAACATGCACATTTTAAAATGGCAACATTTTACATATCCAGTTAATTGTTGGATATTTAATGTGTTTAATCAGAATTTCTTAAACAAGTTACACTACCATAGGTGTGCCAAGACAAACAACAGAAATAGACTAAAGGGCAACAGTTCTGTCAATTTCAACCTCAGTGATAGAAAGCCCCCAAACTCAAGGCTTCAGATAATCCAGTATAGGGTAGAAGGAACAACAGATACAACTTACTTCTGACACCAATTTTCTGAACTTAAAGGTTGCAAAGGTGGGATCAGATGTCCAACATGCCCTTCCAATGTCAAAGAACTGTCTCTGATGTAGGAAGAAAATGTCCAGTATCCTATGGTCCCTCAGGGAATGTCTAGGGGCCATAGGATTGCTTCTGAAAGCATTCTTACAGATTTTCATTTTCTTAACCAAAAAGGGTAGCATTATTATAGTGCCTATTCCTATATTCATTTGCAAGGCTATAAAAATTGCTTGGGCTCATATAAGGACCATTCACTGAAAGGACTGTAACACTTTTTCTTTCAATAACTCATTCCCACTGCAGATAATGAACTAAAGAGTCTTCTCAGTTGTGGAAACAGTGACCCAGCACTGAGAAGTGCAAGAGTATGAAGGAAAAAACGCTAGAAGTATAATCTTATGCATGTTCAGACAGAAAAAATATCCTACAACCTGCCATATGCTGGAAATTTCAGGACTTTCTTTTGTCTAAACATGCATTGGGCCCTAAAGCTCTGTGATGCTCACAAAACTAGTTTGATACTTGTTTGGTTTCTGGTTATTTTCATTATATATTCTTTTCCCCAATATATCCTATAATTAAATGCATTTTTACAATTAGGCATCTCACAGGTTTGTGCACAGTTGTTTTATGATGTTAACACAATTGGCCTTATGCTGCCTCCTTTCAGGCACATATGTGTATTGAAACCTGATGTATGCAAATTTAGTCTTCCTGTTTTTACAGTCATGGCATGAAGACAAAAATGTACTTCTGGTTTTCTTCACTCAGCCTTTAACTGGGACTGCTTCTGTATTTGCTTAGTATTGTTCTGATGGCATGTTAATATTCCATCCTGCAGTCTATACACTGCATGAACATGCCAGAACAACACATTTTGGGATCAGATTGTATGGCATGAGCTGCAGCGATCTCTAGAGTCTTTGCTTTCCAGGCTTTATCCAGTATGTTGAGTAGTAGTTTAGCTTCTTTTGACAGATAGAAGTAGACCATATGAGGATCAGTTAGGGCAAAATGTTAATTGTATTTGTCTAGAACAGGACTAACTATACATTGCCTGAATTTCAGTTTCGTGCCCTAAGCTCTAAGGATGTGACATACTTCCATTGCTTTGCATCTTTAGCTTTTTAAAAACATTAGTGAAATTGAAAACTTTTCCTTAGTGAATTTTGGCCAAAATTTATTTTGGTACTACAAGAGTTATTAAAGTCCTTATATTCAAATGAAATGACATTGGACAACTGATGTGCCTTTCTACACTAAGAACAACCATACATACACTACTTTTCTTGTCCAAGAAACTGTTCAACATCAACCACTAATTCAGAACTTGATAGTTAGCTAGAGAGCTACCTGGTAGACAATTTTCACAAGTTCTCCTGCTGTAAAAGATTTTCCAGCATTCTTTTGAAAAACATTTAATATTTGCTGTTCACGAGCATTTCTATGCAGAATGTATTCTTGAATTTTAGCTCTTGCTTCTTTTATTACTGGACCATGTCCTGTAAGAGAAAGTAGTCATAGCTATAAGAAAAATACTTGGAAAAAAGGACACTCACAAATATTATTGCAGAAAGGATAAGATTGTCAATCAGATAGATGTTTAAAGTAAGTGACAAGGCTATTAGATATTCATCTGACCACTTCTACTTATCTGAAGTGTTTTAGCGTAACTGAGTTCAGAGGAATTAATTGCCTCAAACACTATTGTTTGCACTAGACATTTACAATAAATGCAAAACTTTAAAGCAGTTTTAGAACAGAAAAGGTCTTCACACCATCTCTCTGCTATTACTGTGATTTCCCTAGATGCGTATTTCACACCATGCTCTGGCCAGCTTGATACCTGCAGAACTTCTTTTGGCCTAAACATGCATAGGACTTCACCTAATACATTAATTTTAATGTAATGGGTACTTAGTAGAAATAAACGTTTTGTTTAATGTGATAACAAGCATGCCCTCTACTGGTCTTCTACAACTCGAATTCTTAGTCTATGTACTATTTGCTAGAAAGAAAGGAGCAAACTACATCTCATACATACAAGTATAAGGAAATCCTAAGGTTGTTTTGTTTTAAATGAACAGCAGCTTTGGGAGAATTGGAATGTGTATGAACTTTTCCCCATCATTTCATCTGTGCATGATTTCCTGTGAAGGTGAACATGAGTCTTGGAAACAAAGATAGTGTGTATGTATGTATGTGCTTGTAAAAGAGAAATAGCCAGCAGAATGTTAAATCAGCTCTTCTTCACTAAAAATTGCCTCTTTTTCCAGAGTTACCTTACAGCTGTTTGAAAATTGACATTTAAACTTTTCCCCTTTATCCACTGAAAGTATTGGGAATGATATTTTATGTAATTCCATATTATCTGCCCAAAAGTCTGTGAGGTAGCCTAAACAGATAAAAAGATGTGAAACTTGATTTTTTGTCATCACAAAATAACTTCCTAGCTTTATGCACTAAAGAGGTTCTAATGGTATACTATTTGAGGATGTTCACCTTCAAAGACCAAAAAGTTCAGCAAAATGTTATCCAAATGAGCCTAGTCCAGGGGTCCTCAAACTTTTTAACCAGGAAGCCAGGTGAAAGGTGCTGGCGATGACAAGTAAGGTGTCGGGACAAGACAGATGTGATTAACGAATCTCCGTTATCGCGCTGGTAACTGTCCGGTGGTGGGCTGTGGGGGCCCAATCTAAGCCCCGTAGGGGTGAAGATAGATTGCTTGGCAAAGTTCCCAGCAGGTGTCTGAATGGCAATTCTGCGCTTACTGGGAGAAAATCAAGCTTTTCTCAGCTGGTTGAGAAAAGTTCAGCTCTCTGTAAGTCCTCAGCATACTTTTTTTGTTTAGTCTACTTTAGCTATTAGCATCAGATCTACTGGGAACTATATTTTATTTTATTTTTTTGCAATGATACCCGTGGAAAAAGCTGCATCGTTTGCTAATTGATATAAAAGAAGAAACTGAAAGCCCTTCGGATGGAGGAGGGAAAGAATTCCCCCCCCCCCCACGGAACTGAAAGGCGGCGAATTACATGAGAGAGAGAGAGAGAGAGAGAGACAGAGCTCTTTGTAAGTAAGGAAAAGATCTTTTTTTTCTTTAATCTCTCCAAGGGCAAAGAACTAAAATAACAAATTAATGTTTAATTGAACTATAGAAGTATCTTTCTTGTGTGTTGGACTACTTCCAAGAAATAACAGCCATCTTTGCTCCATTGTTCCTGGGACTCTTGGACCCCTGCCAAGGCTGCAAAATCACTCCCAATATGGAAGAAATTAAAGAATAAATACAGGCGTCTTTAGCAGCCTTGCAACTATCCCAACAGGTGATAATAATACAACAGAAGACTGTTTTAATTAAGTAACTTGACTCTTTCCTAATTGAACAAAAAGCTGGTTTTGATAAGTTAGATTTTTCTATTAATCAGGCTTTGATCAAACGATTTGTACCTGAGCAGAATATGCAAAATATCCAGCAAGCACAGGAAAATTTGAAACTGAGAAGATAACAAGTGAATTATTATGGGATGGGCCTATAAATAGACAAGCAGATGGTTATTTGGAAGCATCAGGAAAGTCAATACAACCAGTAAATTTAATAAATAAGCCTCCACATGATCTTCTTGTTATGCTGGATAGTTGGGCTACAGTCTAAGACACATGATCTACTGCAGACACCACATCATTCTAATTAAACAAAGAAGCAATGGGCAGACATGATTTATTACATGATTTATTACAGGCATCTTTTTTTGTACAGGTATTACAACATTATAATGTAAAAAAAACCAGAAAGGTTTGGTAGAGGTGTAAAAAAAAGAAAAAGGGAAAAAAAAGGAGAAAAGAATCAGAGGGAAGATAAGAACTTTCTTTCTTGTCATTTCAAAAAGGAATGATGTATATAGGTTGGTATGCTTTATATGTAACGTAGAAAAGCTAAGCTACTGTGGTTTGTGAAGCATTAGTAATTTAGTTTAATGAAATTTTGGCTAAAAGATATTATAGATATTAGTTATCATCAAATAGACCAATTAATGATGCTTTTAAAGATGTTAAGTGGATACTTCTGATTTTATTTGTATCTGAAAATAAGAGAATTTATATAGGTATTAATAATCACCAAACAGAGTTGCTAAACCACTTTTAGAGATAAAAAGGGATGATTAGGCTAATTCAATATGGTTGGTGAAAACTTAACAATCTAGTTTAATGAAACATTGTTAAATGGATATCTCTGACTATATCTGTAATTGAAAATAGGAGAATCTACTATCTTAAAAAGCAATGACTCATATGGGTTGGCAAGTTTATATGTGATATTGCATGGAGTTAACTATATTTGATTAAATGGTGTGTAAGTTTAGATGCAACATTAGTGAGCTTAAAGAAAACTGGTTTAAAGTTATCACCAAACAGAGTAGTTAGGATGACTTTTGAGATGTTAAATAGTTTTTTTTTGATGTTACGTGTAATTGTGGGTTTGGATGAACTTATCACTGCAGAAGAAAGATGCAATTTCACTCAACTTAGAGAAGCTTCCCTTAAAAAATGGTCAAGAGAAACAGGACTTTGTAAGAAAGGATGGGGTTGATTTCACCGAAGGAGGAGGAAGAAAAAGGAAGATAGTGACTTCTATCAAATTTGGATTTACTTTTTTATTTGGCTGGAGAAACGGGACTTGGTTTTGATCTAAGATGTTTTCATGTTTTAATAGATGGATTTCTGTATGATCATAGAATGTTAAAAGATATCTTGTAGGGGACTGACCCAGTAAATCTGATGTGTGTGATGATTGATATTTGTAGTTTTAGCTTAAAATCTTAATAAAAATTTCAAAAAAAAAAAAAAAGGAAGGAAGGAAGGAAGGAAGGTAGGTAGGTGCTGGCGATGTGTGGGGGCTGGCGCGGCATGTGTGGGTGCACGTGCTGAGGCGGGGGCGAGGTGTGCAGCGAGGGGAGGCGAGACGGGGCGGGCACGCACTGCAAGGCAGGCGCATGAGGCAGCGGTTTGCTCTTTTGGAGATCAATTTTTCCGATTGAGCAAACTGCTGCCTCCCCGCGTGCGGGGCAAGGTGGGCGGCAGTGGGCGCATGCACAGTGGGTCCAAATGGGCATGACTGGCTGAATCTGGCCCCCGGGCCATAGTTTGAGGACCCATGGCCTAGTCCATCTGCAGTGGGTACATCTCATTCAAATAGGTTTTACATAGATGGCACCGCAATGCATTCCTTGCTTTTGACATTTTCCTTCAGAGATATGTTCAATAATTTGCAACAGATGTTAAAATGGTAAATAATTTCTAGTAGAACATAAAACTCATAAATCAAAGATGTAATCCATCTCAACATGAAACCTTTTTCAGTGAGTCCAATGCAGTGCAAGCGCAGGCTGCAGCCCCAGGAAAGCACTGCAAAAATCACCAAGTCAACAGGAGCCTTCTCCTATCTTTGCTGTAATGTGCCATGAAAGCACAAAGATCAAGAAAGGAATCGTGGTCCTCTGGCTATGAGCAGCAAGACATTAAGGATTTTAAACAGCAACCCTGGCAGTGGGAATTATACAAGTAGTGCATGAGAACTCATATGGTAATCATCTGAATCAAATGTGGAACTAACCAGGGTATATTAAATCCAATTTCATTTCTAAGAGCTTTTCCAGTGATTTCATGTAATCATAAAGGTCTTCAAATACAGCTGTTCCTTCTCCTAAAATACAGTCACCAGAAAATATAGCATTCTCCTCTAGAAGATGTAAAACCATATGATCATCTGTATGTCCTGGAGTATATAAAACTCTGTAAAATTATAGGAAAAAGTAAACTTCATTAGATTTATAACCATGCTTTTAACAGTAAAGCACCCAACATATAAGAGATAGTGAGTGTGCATGTATTGATATAATAAAAGCATAAAACGTTCTAATTATTTTTCTAATTATTAAAGTAGATACAAGCTGTAACAACAGAAATATTATTTTTAAAAGAAGCTTTTAAAATTTCACAGATCACTTTTAGTGATGGCAAAGGCATGTCTTTGATAGGTTAACAGAGATGGCATTACAAGATCTTCCAGTGGGCTTCCATTGTAAGGTAATTCTAAAGCCTGGGTGCAACCACTGAGAAGACCCTCTCTCCTGTCCCTACAAAATACATCACTGATATAGGTGGCATCAGAGAAAGCCTTTTCTAGGCAGATTCATAAAGGGAAAGGAGCTCCTTCAGGTAACCTGGTCCAAAGCCATTTAAGGATGTACAGGTAACTATGTTGCACTGTGCCTAAAAAAGGCACATACCCCCTAGAAAGGGTATCAAGAACCAGTCCAGTGAAACCCTATTACTAGAACCCTATAACCAACTCTTTTCAGAAGTCTGGCTGTACTCTGGATCAGCTGAAGTTGCTGGACACTTTCAAATGGCTGCCCCATACAAAATGTATTATAGCAAACCAGGCAAATTGTAACCAAGGCAAATGTGTGTCAGTTCTGATGTTTCAAGGTACAGCTACAGAATTCTCAATTGTGCAAAAGTTCTCTTTTATCCACAGCTACTACACATACAACCTCATACACCAAAAGTTCAGGCAAGTTGCAGAAGGGGAAGAGCAGGAAGACTGAATTTGAGCAGAGAGGTACATAGAAAGACTGGAATAAAATATAAATGTAGCTCATATATTTTTCTCTGCACTCAGATTGTATGAACTAGATAGCACTATAACAACATACCCACAAAGGTTTTGAACTCTCTGTAAGCTCTGCTGACCATACAAAACATATGTTTAAGTTAAAGCCCCAATTCAGTCTCTGCATGGGCTTAAGAGTCTTTGTAATAGTTAAACATACAAGGCAATATTAATAATCTTGCCCATATATACAAACAATGTGTTAAACTTTCTACTTACCTTAGAGTAGCTCCCTCTGCCTTTAAAACATCCCCATCTTTCAAATATGAGTATTTTTGCTTTCCTTCTCCTATTACTTCTTCACGATGTGGGTTTCGTGGAAGTTTACTTATGGAATATTCAGAAGCTAGTATGAAAAGTAAACAATATTTCATATCACATCTAGTCATTTAGATACACACCAGTCAAAAGTCCCCTACCACAAAATCACTATCTTAAGTTTATAAACATGGATTTTTTAAAAAAAATGGCATGAATTTCCTTTTTGTAGAAGTATATTGTTTGCAGAAAAAATCATTTTTCATATTAACAGAGTTTTATATAGATCTGTTTTATAAGCTCTTGGACAATAACAAAAACTGTCCAAGTAGAATAAAGAAGCAGAATAAGCAGAATAAGAAGAACTGCACACCAGCAAATGTTTTTAGCAAGGGAAGGAAATGGATAAGTAACTTAACTGATTCTCATGCTAGCATCAGCACAAACATGGGAATCAGTTGATATGTTGGGCTAGTTCTGGCTTTGGCCAGGGCGACTTAATTTATACTGTTAATTTATATTATTTTAAGGAAGTTTATGTTTGTGAGCCGCCCTGAGGCTTCAGCGAATGGGGTGGCATAGAAGTTTCCTAAATAAATAAATAAAATAAATAATTAGTGCCATTGTTTAAATACATGGGTCCAAAATTCAGAGTCTCATCTGTTCAGTCAGTTCTTTATTTTTTAAACAAACACAAATATGTGTTTCAAGATGTAGAAACTTTTCACAGTTGTATTCATTGTTTCCCCAGCATGGTGTCAACATGAGTCAGAACACAGGTTAAAAGATAATTTTGAAGTTTTGTAAACAAATACACATTTTCTGTTCCAGGAAAAAGCCCTACAACTGCCCAGTTCTGCATGCTTTTTTTTTTAAAGTGGTTTGGCTTGACTAAGGAAAATGTGGCTGTGGCTAATAGCTATTGCTACTGCATTTGAGATCCATAATCCCAGGCAAATTTGCAACTTAAATAAAAAGTTAGAACATACATATTCAATGGGGTTGGAGATCCTTCGGGACTTTGGCAATTTGGGAAATTGTCCTGGGCACCACCTGAAAATGACTGCTGTGGCAGGCATAGCAAAGGACAAGTGACCTACCCCTAAGGTCAAGTACAAGGCAGAGGTGATGGCCTGAGCTCTAACACTTGGAGGCCAAGAAACTTCTATTGGGTATATTGGTGCCCATAAGCCCCACACCGACTATCTCTGAATAACCCTTTTGGTTTAAGAGAAGTGTTCAGTTTTGTATGTATTCATTCATGCTCTAAGATGGATAGGTATTTTCACCTATGCTCATGCATAAGCAGTGAAAACAAAGAAGAGTCTTCCCTGCAACTTAGCCTCCATGCAATCATACTTGCCCTTAGTCTTTTAGCCCTAACCCTTGTCCTCTGTATAGTGGAGACAAAACTAAGCTGCTGACAGCAATACATGGGCAGAGGCCAGCAAGCTGTGCACTGGATTCAGCTTTCCCAGTATGCATTATAGGGTTATGGGTTGAAAAGAATGGCATACATTAATAGTGACAGCCTGTTTATGGGGCAAATGAGGTTGATGGAGGCGAGACAGAGACACATACAAAGACTGGATGCAATGAAGAATTGTCTGTATCTAGTCAACAAGAGAAAGGTCATGAATGAGTTCTACTTTTATGAGTAAACAGAAGACTGTCTTTGTAAGAGGTCAGATCTGTTTCAGATGACTTAAAATGTCAGAAATTACAAACACAGCAAAGCAAGTCCAGTGTACCTCTAAGTCTTGACTAGATTGGCACCTGGAGCAAAATATAAGCTCTGCTAGAAATTGGTTGTCAGTATTAAGAGTTCAACAGCTTATTACTAATGTCTAATAGAATACAATGCTTCTAATATTCTTCCTTTTTACCTTTTTGCTATATGACAGAAGTAACATCAGATTAAGTACTGATAACTCACTTTATATATACTTTATTTTAAAGTAGTATTCATATATTTTAATTTTTTTTAATGAAGGGAATTACTTACCTGCAGGAATGTTTTTACAAATATCAGGTATGCCTCCAGTGTGATCATGGTGCCAGTGTGTTACCAGAATTTCTTGGATTGAGATGCTGAAGTCACTGAGCGCTTGTTTCAAGCAGCTAATATATTCAGGGACAGAGGGTTCTCCTGTATCTATAAGGATCCTTCTGTATTAAAGATAGGACCATCCCCCACACAGCAAAAAAAGACATGAATAACTGCAAAAGCTAGGGCATGGTTAATGGAAGAACATGTTAACATTTTACAATGACTAAGCTTTGGATCTTGGTACAAATCTCACATGACATGGAAAACAAATTCTAGAGCTATGGTGTCCTTGTACAACATTAGAATTCCGAAAGAGACTACAGAGAGAAATCCAACTTCTCTTTCTTCCCTTCCCATTCTCCTTTTAAATTTAAATGAAGCATCTAATAAGCTCCAATGAAAGGACTCACTACAGCATGCGTAGATGGCTAAAACACTTCTATAGAGCAGGAATACACAATCTTGTTAACAGAAAACCAGAACATAATAGAACTGGGAAAGATGAAAAACTTTGTAGGACCTACAAGGTAGCAAAAAAAAAGTAGCAAGTAAGAGACCAATAGCCACATAGGCAAGAGAACAAGCTGGACTCCATATGGCAGGGATGGGAAACCTATGGCACCCCAGGTGTTTTGTGGCGATGTCTTCCACCATCTCTGGTCACTGACCACGGTGGTCAGGGCTGATAAAGTTGGAGTCTGGCAACATCTGCAAAGCCATGGGTTCCTCAGGTCTGCCTTGCAATAATTTGCAAGAGAGAAAGGAGGAAATCTTAAGTTAAATATGTTTCCAGGGAAACCTGACATTGTGCAGGGAAAAAGAAAACAGGACTCAGATACCAGATGTATATGGAGCAGGGCCCTTGATATGTAAAATATCAGTATTTCACATTAATACTTCCCAAATGGTATATTAAGACTGCCATTTTTGCTCACATATCTGGAAACACAGAAGAACATAAAATCTGTGCTGGATCAGACCAAGCTCCATCTACTCCAGCATTTTGTGGCCAAATAGCTGCCTGCAGGAAAACTACAAATAGGACAATTGTGACATCATCTTCCTGTTTGTGTTTCTCAGCAACCAGTATACATAGGCATACTCCCTACATAGGGGGCATTCTAATCAACTCCCCTATGAAAGGGGTAGACAGTCTTCAGGACTAGATAGCTACCATGAATTATCCTTTACAAGTTGTCCAAATTTGTGGCCATCACTCTCTCTTGTGATCATGAATCCCATAGTTTAAATATGTGTTTTGTGAAAAAGTATTTCCTTTTATATTTCAATCTCCCACGGAGCAAATTTATAGGATGACCCCAATGGGTTCTAGTATTGTAAGAAAGGCAGAAAAGTCTCTCCATATCTACTTTTCCACAGCATGCATAATTTTGCACACCTCTATTATGAACTCAATAGAACATTTAACAGCTCTATATAGGAGTGTACTGTTAGACTGCAATTTTATAAACACAGACTGCACTGTTACAGATGTGAAAAATTACAACAAAATGAAAAAGTAAAATTTCAGAATGTTACCTGGACTCTCCCATCTTACTCTTTCATGATGGGAGATGCTAGAAGCTATAGTCCAATGCATCTGGAAAGCCCCAGGATGGGCAAAGCTGGTCTAGGCAACTCATTTTTCTCCCCTTCTCCCTAAGAGCCATTCTGATGATCAGACCAAGGTCATGTGGTTCAGCATGTTGTTCAAACAGCAGCCAAAAGCTTCCAACAGCAAACCCACAAGCATTCTTCTGACCAGTTTCCCCAGCAACTGGTGTCCATAGGCACTGATACTGAAGGTAGCATATAGCCAACAGGATTAGTAGCCATGAAAAGGGTTTAGACAACACAATATCCCACACTCAAGTGCAAACTTGGTTGAGTCTGGCTTGTTGAACTATGGGCTATTGTGCTGTCTGAACCCATCTTCAGTAACAAGCTACAGCTTATTAGCCACAACACAGGAGAAAAACCCATGGTTTGTTGTTGTGTTGTAAACTGTGGGTTTCTCACCATGGCTTGTTCTCTCAGATACTGTCAGACAACATTACCCACATTTCAACAACCCACACTCAACCCTTGAATATGGGTTATGTTGTCTGAACCTAGTTGCTGAAGCCATTTTTATCCATGAAGAGCAAGGAATAACAAGCTGCCTTTGCATGACCTTTTCACAGGGATGGTCTTTTCCCTCTTCCTGGCAGAAAACTTTTCTGTGCCTTTCAAAGCAGCCAAGCAGCTAGCCACCTTGAATATATTTTTATGGGAAAACAGGCAGGGTCAAAACAAGCAAGCCACCACGGGAGCTTAGGATAAGCTTCTCCGACTGGGAAGATGATCCACCTGTGGAATTACTGCCTGCTCATATAGATGTTACGAGAAGCAGCGAAGCCTTGCTTAGGAAAGGTTGCAGCAAGGACGAAGGGTGCCCCTCGCTGCAAACACCGCGGATTATGCGGGCGAGGAAGAAAGCAGGGCACCCGCGGCTTCTCCTCGTCTTTCTTGGAGGCCAGCATGGCTGTACCTGGGCCCGGTGCCCACCAAGTAGGTATTGGTGCCCTGTAGGGTCATGGGCCCCGGGTTGCAGCCCAGCACACGAACCACACTCGACGAGAGCCGTTCCACTCGCGGAAGCACCGACGCCATCTCCGGGGCTCCCCAGACAGCTGCGAAGAAGGACGAATCCGGCAGCCGAAGTGACCATAGAGGTAGGAAACGATAGACTGACAATGCTGGAAGCAGAACTTCCTGTTTTCGTTTGATTTTCGCTCTCGCTTTTAGAGTAGCTGTGAACGAACACGGAGCTTGCCCATCCAGTTTTGAAAGACTGCCAGGTTTATTCTGTCATAAGCTTTCCTCGATATTGTCCGCTTCATCACTTTGCGATGGGATTTGAGGCTGCAGCAGACTGAAGAAAAGGAAAAAGAGAAAGACAGAGAAAGAAAAAGAGAGAGAAAGAGCTGCCCGGAGTTAGCCTGGAAGCTGCCACTGTGTGTGTTTCTCCACCCAAGGCACCCCCAGCCCCGAGCTTTGCTTTCTTTAGTTTTAGTTTTGACGGTAGAGATGGTCGAGCTGAGGCATTGTACTGGTTAAAACTTGAAATAATGAAAACATTTATAACAGGCCATTGTTTTGGATTGTTACTGTTGTTGACTGTGTCCCTCTTATTTCAACAAAACTTCTCTCCAATGAATAAACATTCAGAGGGAGGTGTTCCCTGTACCTCCCACAACCTGTTTTCATTTTATACTCTTTGGCTACTTAATTTCTGTGCTAACGTTTCTCCAGGAAACTTTCAGAATCTAGGATCAGTTCTGTTTCGCAAGAGAGAGCAATTGATTTTGCAGACAGTGAATGTTCAGGAAATAGGTAGCAAACTACTTTCATATTGATAAAAAAGCCAAGCATTTATCTAGTGAGATAACTAGAAAAGTTTTCTGTGAACCATTTTCTTCCTTTATCTCTATATGACTGGCAGCTGAGGAGTTCTGAGCCCCAAATGCCAAATCAAGATAGCACTTCACAGAAGGCCAATTGGCAATCTCAGAGAAACCCACATTTAATCACGCGTAACATCTAGAAAACGCCCCCCACCCACCGACCGCTAAACTCATGCTTAGAAAAGTATCCAGGAAAAACACCATAACAAAGCAACATAAACATACCAGCTAATACACATCATACTAGACCAGGAAAACTACACAGGCAGAACAGAAAACAAGCAACACACACAGTGTAGACAGAATATCCCTACTTGCTCATGGTACCTCCTTAGCTTCCACAGATGCTCCATCATCCCAGCTTCCCTTTCCTGTTTTTTCTGAGTGGCTGGGTTTACTCGCAAACAGAGTGCTAGGTTGCAACTGCCTGCCTTATTTGTTTTCTAAGAACACCACTGGACACTCCATGAGGTGGAGGCCAGGGCATCACTCTGCAGCACACCAGCCTCCCAGCTGTTGCTTAAATGAATTGCCAGGTCAGCTGACGGTGGCATTGTAATGCAGAGGACCTGGGTGAACTCATTGGTAGGCCTTAGCTAGTTTATTCAATATTAAACTGTCCAGATACAGAATCTTCTAATATTCATCTCAGAACTGGGGATAATCCATTACCAGACTGTCAGACAAAATCAAGAGATTCTTCTAGAAATGGGGAGGGACAAGGGCAGATCTATTCCAATGGAGAAAGAAGTTGGAGATCTCTCTTCCATCACATGTGCCAGGAGCTCCCATACAATCAAAGGGAGTATGGGAGCCTAAAGCAGGCACAAGCCAAGATTGCCCACGGTTTCTTTGGCAAAGATACCCAGGTGTAGTTTTTTTCCCAACCAAATGGGATGACCTGATACAAGCACCAGGAGAACTTTGACACAGACATAATAGGTCTTTAAGGAATCAGGCAGGCGACTTAACTTAGGGCTGTGCTAGATTGATGCCATTTTCCCCTTTGTTTGTTCTTTGCCACTGCTTTGCTATTTTGAACTGCTTATTATTTTCTGCACTGAAATGAATTTGCCTTTTAAAATTGCTTATTTGTGTGTGCTCAGAATCTGACCAGCCTTTTTCTCCAACCAAGGAGCATATAAATAAAAATAAGGTTTTGGCCACGTGAAAATAACTTTATTGCCAGAATGCTAGTAAATTATGTTTTCCGAGAAGACTGTGAAGATCAGTTTGGTCTGTAGATGGCAGTAACAACATTTCTTGAAGGTTATACGTCCTGCCATTACCAAATTGGTGCATAATTCTTTGCTCAAATCACCAGGTATAGCTATTATTGATTGGGCTTCCATGGCACAACAAGCAAACTATGATAAAAAAAACCCCAAAAACATGGTTGCTCACATGGTTGTTGAGCATTGTAATTTATCATGATTCTCAATTGCAATAATATGCAGCAAGAAAGGCACTTGACAACTACCATTCTTGCCAAGTAGCTAGCATGAGAGTGCTGCTGAGAGCTGGCCCAGTTTGGTGGTGTTGGCAGAGGTGTTCCTGCTCCTTCTGCCCCAGAGCTCCCAGGGCAAGAGCTGGGCCAATCAGTTATGCACAACTGCCCTGAATGGGATGGCAGGACCCGGCCGACTGCCTTCCCCATGCCTGATAATAAACTTTTCAGACACAAGCAAGGGAGAGGGATCTGCTCCATGATACTGCCCCATTCTTGGAATAGCCCTGCATGTTTCCAGTTCCTGCTTGTGCACCGTAATTCCAGGCAGGAGCTGGGAGCCAGGGGTGCTCTTGATGGAGCTGTCCTTTGAATGGGAAATTGCTAGTGAATCCATGGTCCCTCTCCCAGTTTTTGCCTGGAAACAATCTGTTCAGGCGACTGTCATAGCTGTTAAACAGTCTCTGTGCAGACATGACTCACTCCTTGAACTGCAGCAGAGAGGATGAGGCAGTTGATAATTCTTTCCTCCTGCTCTTGAGGGACTGCTCTGTACTACAATGGGCTGCATTTTCTTGGTTCAGATAAGACAACAAGCTGTTGTGCTATGAAGAAACCATAGAGCAGACTATTGTTTTTGTCTACCATCTCTAAAGACCAAGCAAACTGATGAAATACCAGGATGACGATTCAAACAATAGAACCAACCAGCAGTGGTAAAAAAACCCCACAATTTCTTGCCATGTCGTGCAAACCCAGCCATGTGTGTTTACAAAGCAAACTATGTAATCTGTCAAGTCTATTCACATATACAATCCTCAGCACCATTTCCTTTGCCTCCCATTGAAATTAGTGGGCTTAATGCAGTCTCAGCTAAATGTTTGAAGAGATTTTGCAGTTTGCATTTTTTGCTCTGCATAGCAAAAATTGTCACCTGATACTCTGATAGTTCTCAAATATTACTAATTGTGTCAGCTCATCTATTTTGTTATGTGCCATCCAACTTATGGAGACCCTATGATGAAAGCCCTTCAGATTGTCCTGTCCATGATAGCTCCATTCAGCTCTTCTAAGTTCAAGTCTGTGGCTTTCTTTATGGATTCAATCCTTCTCATATTGTGGTTGAAGTCATTTCCTTCTACATTCTCACTGAAAGAGTGGTTCTCTACAGGGTGGCCCAAAAGTAGGTATGTAGTACTGATATGGCCATGTTTTGGCTCTAGGTGCTCAAAATGTCCTCCATCAGCATTGCAACCTGTCCCCAACACTGTGACACAAATTCAAGTTAGCATTGATGTCGATAAATGCTTGTGAGATGAACTCCTTTAGTTCATCCACTGTGTGCGGTTCTCCATGACCTGTAATTTTTATTCAGAGTGTGTGGAAGATTATTTATTTTGGGCAAAAATAACTTGAGACATATAAAAAAATATAAGCACTCTAAGGTTTCTCTGATTGTTTCTCAATGCCACCCCCAAAGGGAAGATTTACATTCATTACAGCTAGATAGCAGTGGCTTCTTTTTGTGTCAATCTGTTTCAACTCCCAGTAATCAAGTCAGTATTATCATTATTTAATTAGTTCTTTAGACAATGGCAGCCACTGCTCCCAACATTCTGGTGACATCCAGTAGCCCTTCCAAAGAATGTGTCTTCAGCATTTCTTTGAATTTCTTTGGCTGTTCTGTCAAATGGGAAACCATATTAAGTATTACAGTGTATGCTACCTTGATCACTGTTTCCCACAAGGGAACCATTTCTAGCACAGAAGACTTTATCCATAACTCTTTTCCTTGTGAAACCCTCTACCAAGCTGTTCTACCCTCTACCACTTATATCTATACTCACAGAGGACACAACTTAATGGTGGGGGGGCTCCAGAGGAAAACAGGTTTCCAGGGAAAGGACTAACTCTCACTCTCCTCCTCCTTGTTCTTCAGTGCATGGAAGAAAAGCTCTCAAGGTGAAGTTACAAAAGATCATGCTATAATATTTGGCTTAATTCCTAAAAACTGATACATCAAGATGTGCTCAATGAGGCACTCAGCAACAGATCTGAGTAGTTTGTTAACCACCAGATTCAGAGGTCACAAAAACCCTCACTCAGTAAGATTTCCTAGGTAACCAGCATGTATGGGATAGTTAATGAGCCACCGTGACTAATTAACCACCATCATGTCATGTGGACTGGTTACAAACTCAAGGCTCTTTCCAGCTAACCAGACTCCATTGCTTTAGGAACCAGGTTCCTTCAGGGGGCAGTGATGGTCACCTATTTTGGGAGGCTACTGGGTTCCAGGCATAAATGGGGATCAAGGGTCTTCCAAATAATAACGTAAGAGCAATTGAAGGAGACTCCAGAAACACTAGACTGATCCAATACTCTGTCAGAAAACTTGAGCTCAAAAGCTAGAACTGTTGCAGGTTTAAATATATGGCTATTTCATGACTTCCCACATCCACAGGTCAAAGAGACTTAAATTTATTCTAGTGTCAGACAGTTTCATAACAACTTTCTGTTGCTGAGACAACATGAAATAGGTCTCTCTCTGTGTGTGAGAGAGTGTGCATGCATGCATGTGTGTGCATAGGAGCAGTATTTAACCATGTGCAACAAAATGTTTGCAGTAATTTACCCTGCGGGAATGTAAAAAACAAACAAAAACCCAACAACCTGTCACAGGTAACTGAAAGCAAATAAAACTTACTCAGCCCAAGCAATGACAATCCATATAGCTAGAAGATTATTAACTAGATCATATTGCCCACAGTAGGCTGAGTTTCAGTTTACTTTGTGCTCCGCCCCTTTTGCCTTTTTCAAAGAGCAAAACTCGCGGAGCAATGAAACTTTAAAGCTCCTTCGTGGATTTTCTGTTGAAACTTTTGTATTTTAAGGCAAATTTTAAGATAAGGTTTTTTATGATGGTACTACTGCCAGGAATTAAATATCCAGCAATGCTGGACTGTGTTAGACTAGCAATCCAGAAACCATTATAGTTATGCTAAAAGTGAAGTTCTCCTATTGACTTTACTAGGTTTAAGGGAGGTGAAGATAAAGTATTATGGCATATTTGTAGGACATGGAATAATCAATTCAAGTTGTGACAGCCAAGATTCAGGCTGGACATCAGGAAAAGCTTCCTCACTGTCACAGCAATATGACAGTGGAACCAGATGCCTAGCAAGATGATGGGCGTCCCCACACTAGAGACATTAAAAAAAGAAACTGGACAGTCATCTGAGTGGGATGGAATAACTTGGTGTCCTGCAATAGCAGGGGGTTAGACCCGATGGCCTTCATGGCCCCTTCCAACTCTACTATTCTATGATTACAGAATGCATATATTAATAAAATATGTATCCTGAAGACTAAACTGTATTTGTCATTTTGGTGGTCAGGCATGTTTCCTTCAATCACAGGATTAAAAACAGTGGGTTAGATCATACTTATTTAGTTTGGTTCCCAGTGGTGATATGGCTAGATAATTTTGGATCTGGGATTTAATGGTCTTATAGGCCTCTCATTTGGTTGGTTTGGTTGTGAAATTCACAACATTTCTTTTTAAATCCATCCCATATTCACCATTTCAGTGGTTTCTATATCCCTGATGTGTTAGAACAATCACAACACCACTTCTGAACCACCCTGAATTTTAAAACCCCACTCCAACCATGTAAAGTTTTGCATTTTTAACTAACTTGAATTACAGCACCATCATGACTACAGGCATAAATGGAGCTTGCTTCTGCATTTGCTGCTTTTTGGGCAATTATTCGAACACTTCTTTTAACTGTGAAGTCTTGGACTTCAGCCTTAAGTTCTAGAACTAGCTATACCACTAGTTCTCACTAAACACGCACCACACTATTGAAGACATTTATGAAGGTGGGATATTGAAAAACAACACTAAGGTCATTTTCAAAGTATCTGTTTCACATTGTACATTAATATAATGCTTATGTAAATGTTTGGTAGAATAGTATACCTTCAGTTTCAAAATGACATATTTCCATTTTCTATTCTGCACTAGTTACACTTATATCGAGTAAACGCCCAGTGGTAGTGAGATTTTTAGATATATGTTCTGTAACATCCTGGTTAAAATCAAACTGCCTATCAGAGAAACCTCCAGGATAGAGGAGCTGCAAAAATGGCAGTATCTCTTTAGCGCAGATGGAGATTCAGGCAAACCTTTTTTAGGACATCTCTTAGAATGACATATAGTACCACACAAGTGTTAGGACACTGCAGCTGTCCAGTCCACTGAGTAGGGCAGACACATTGCTAATAAAAATAGCTACATTCATCAGGAAATAAGTGTTTCTGGCAATATGGTCCTACCATTAGTGAAGCAGCTGCCTCTAGGCAGCAGATTTTGGGTATTACAAAAGGGTACCAAGTTATTTTTGAGTTTGTTTTTATTGTGAAATATTCTTGGCAATAAAAATGCAGGCAGAGGTCAAAGGACAGTTAAGTAATTAAATATATTACACAGTCCAGAAACAGAATCAAGCAGGGATCAAAGAGTTAGTAGTGTGAAGCATCAGCAGACAAAGTGCAAGAAACAAGGCATTAAACACAGTATTTCTTCCAGCATGGACCAGGCACAAGGCTAGACTGAAGGTTTTGGACACCAGAGTTGGCTAAGCCCCAACCAAAGCTCAGCTGCAGTATATTAGAGCTTTGTGGTCACAGTCCTATTCCTGAGGTGTCATTTCCTTCCAATGAGTTATTTTCTGCAAGTGAGCACCTCTTCTCATGGGAGTCCTACTGCTTCAGGCGGTGATGCTACTGGGGTCAGGAAAATGTCACCTTCTCTTGGTAGTATTCTGCTTTTGTGTCAGCAGGTACCAACTCTTAGAATATCTTTGAGAAGCAAGTAAATGGAAAACCAAGTCCAGTAAAACTGCATAGAATTCATTATGCCAAGCATCCAGCTGAGAACAGCATAGAATTCATTGTGAGAAGCATCCAGGTTTCAAAGAGAGGAGTCCAGGTGGGTAGTTGAAGAGCAAGGCAAACACTGGTTTAAAATGTTTTTTTGCAACAGGAGGATGCTCCAGCTGGGTTAATGTATAGCTTCCTGTAAATTAGCACAGTTGAATTATTAGGTTAGAATGTTGTTTTAAGGGGAGGAGGGTTCTTAGGGTGTGTCTTCTGGTTGGACTCGTACTTCCACTTGATTATCCTTCTCTCTGAAAAGTAAAGTTGCTCTGTTTCCTTCCATTGAGGAATTCTAGGAATGACCTAGGCTGTTCTAAAGGAAGTCTGTTAGCTGCAGCATCAACCTTACTGTCTAGTTCTGTTTGGGGCCTGCTGTGCTGGCTTCTCCCTACTTCTTTGTCTGATGAATCCTTCAGATAGGGTAAGACAGACAGGAATTGATCTGTGGTCATCTCCTTCAAAGACCAAGGCTCCTCCTGGTCTTCTGGCATGGATGATTCAGTAGCATCTTTCTCTGGAAGTTCAAGTTTCTGTTCAGTGAAGTCATCTTCTGGCAGGGACCTGATACCAAGAATAAGGAGAGATGGTTGTGGCATTTTGTGTCTCATGTACCCAAATAACACAATCAGCCTTGGATGCAATGCACCCTAACTTGGTTTAGTTAGGCGGAAAGGTTTATTAACCTTAAAAATATGCTGATGTATTACTGTGAAAATCTTCATTAGTCAATTTTAATAGGTTTTCATTGATGGAGGGAGCAATCTTATGGCCCTAGACAGGACCTAAGGGGCCACAGGTTCCTTAAGATTTCCAGCTTCAAGGTTGGAACTCAGCTGGTCTGCAATCTGTTCTCCCATCCCCATGTAGCTGGCATGCAATTAACACTTAAAGACAGGGAACATGATTTGAGAGAGAGGAAAAAGGAGATGTTTCAGTAGGTTGGACTGTGGGGTTGGAAGGGGATTAGAGACACCAGGATATGAACTACCCTGCAGCCTTCTTTGCTCCTGCTCCAATATGCCTTTGTTATATAGATAAAAAGACAGATGTTTTTGGTGCAATAGACTAGCAGGGCCATCCTTTGTACAAAGTTAAAAATAGGATTGGATAGTACAGGTTGTCCTCCTACTAATTACTTGTGTTTCTGATAAGAGGTTTTTGATGATGTTCTGAATTATCTACTTATTATTTATTTTTTCCAAGGTTCATCAGAAACAATCTTGCCAATACCTTTTAAATTGCACACAGATGTTTTCCCTAATGAAACCTCACAGACCTGTAATTTCAGTTTGATTTGCCATTTAAACAAATACACAGCTCTGAAAGAACAAATTACAGTAAGAAATGTGTTTTTCACTTCTCACCATTGAAACAAAATGGCCATTCATGAAAACAGATAATGAGATTTACTAAGCAAGATTTTGCTTTGATGGCTGTTGGAGTGCTGTTTTTTGTAGCTGATATCGTAGCAGATATTTGGCAAGCAACAGAATATTTTTATGAGGAACATTATTTGTGGGGTACCTTGTTATTGGCCATAGGACTTATTTCATCAGTAATTATCCAGTTTTTCAGTCATGCCTGGTTTAAAGAAGATACTAGTGGGAATCTGAAATGGATTTTTCTTCTATTGCATTTCTTACATGGTGGATTACTTACCTGGTAAGCACAGAATTTTGAACATAGAACAAAGTATTATATGTGCAATAATGCTCTAAATAATGTTTCATGTGGGTGGTGAAGCTTTGAATGGGGATTAGTTGAATCGTCTGATTTGCACAAAGGTTAAGACAAGTCCTGGGCTGCTTTTGGCTAAGTTGGTAGAAAGTGAAGTCAGAAAAGAATGTTGGGCTGGATAAACAGGGTCTAGAAAGGAAAGTTAGAAATGGTACCTTCATAATGGTTTGTTAAAATAACCAGCCATATCTTCAGCTGTAGGTTTCTGTTTTCTATGATTTTCATACTTAGAAACCTCATGCCTGTTCCTTATGCCATGTTAATAGTCACTCAACTGTTAAAAGCAACTATAACAAATTAAGTAAAAAATTAAGAAATGCATTCAGTTTTTACCAAGTGAAATTAACTGAAATCTGATCTGTATAAAAATTTCTCTAAAATTAATAATGTCTGAAAGGTGTTAAAGTTTGGAGAATGGTGTGAATTGGAGACATTAGTGGTATTTAATGTTCTGTAATGGTAGAGATTTCCATTTGATCACATTTTATTTACTGTACTGCCAGTAACCAAAAATTTCTAGTGGTGTACATTTGTACATATGGGCAACTATGTATAATAATGTATGAATCAGATAGCACTAGTGTCTAGGATCTGTCAAGCTTGGTAGGTTAGGATAGAACAGGGGTAGGCAATCTGTGGTTTTCCGGAACTTTGGGCCTACAATTTCCACTCAGCCTTGGCTAACAGTTAATATGGAAGCTGGAGTGCAACACATCTGGAAGGTACTAGGTGCAATAAACTGGTTTAAGGCCTAGTGGGACCATGGTAAGAAAGGAAACGTCAACTTGAACATAAATAAAAGAGAAAATAAAATCATTTGGTGAAAAGAAAGCAGGTTACAGTGGCTTCAAAATGAAATTGCCCTGGGAGAGAATGGATGGCTCTCATTGCACAAATTAAAGTATTGATTTAATACTGATTAAAGTATTTGGTTAAGTAAAGACTTAACCAAATTAACAGTCAAATGCTAAACTTTAAAACTACTTATCTTTATTTCTAGTCAATGCTTTATATATCCATTCCAAATATAAATTGAACAAGCTTTAAAAAGGAATAAAAACAATAAAATAGATGTAGTTAAACCAGTATTTATGCAAGGACCGAAGAACAGGTACATATTTAATCTAGTATGTTATTGCTGCATTTTACAGCAGTCTAGGCTTCTGTGGGGTACTCTTCAAGTGAATGCTGTGAGTTGTTGCTCACACCAGTGCAGGGCTCATAGTAGAGAGGCTTTCAGTCCAGCAGCAGCATCTGAAAGCTCAGGAGACTGTACAACATCATTTGCTTTCCTGGGCTTTCCAGGAAGCAATGTCAGGTTGAAAACCCTGTGCTGAAAGCCTTCTGCAACAGCATATTGGGTATTTTTACAGTAAAAACAAACAGCATATATAGGGCTGTTTATGGTGTATGGTTGGTGAAAGGAGATAGCCTGTAGCCACACTATCTCTTACAACTCAGCAGGTGGGACTCAGTGGTCTGTGTTCAGCTCCCCTAGTATTTCTGGGGGCCCATGCTAGTTGCATTTGCCACCTCTTTGAGTCTTCTCCTAAAGTCTGCTGTAGTGAAGGATCAATGGAGAGGTGTGCAAGCATGTGAGTGGTTGCACCTGGGAGCTGTGCAATGACGCTACATGGTGCCCCACTGATGCTGTGCTCCCTTGATATCCCAGTGGTGTGGCAATGACACACACAGTGGACTCAGGAAAGCTAGTGCTTCAGGATGATGACAACAACTGGCAAAAGTGGAAGAGAACTTCACATGCACAGAATCACTTTGTAATGCATATCCAAAGGGTGAAAGATTCTGGGCTGCTCTTTCTGCTTGTGGATAGGGAAGAGGCCCAGGAGGTTTTCAGTGCTTATCAGTTTACCGAAGAAGCTTGTCAGCAAAAGATCACACTTATTATGAGCAAATGTGAAGCCTACTCTACTCCAAGACAGAATGTGACTTGCATAACATGCACTTCTTTATCAGAACCCTATGCCACAGATTTGGAAAAGCTGGCATGGACATGTGAGTTTGGAAACTTGTGTGAATTCTTCATTCAGGATCATGTTATCTGAGGAGTGAACTCAGACTGAGACAGGCCCCACTGCTCAGAGAGCATGATTTAACTTTGGATCCCTAGGCATTTCCAGAACTGAAACAGCAACAATGTAGGACCTTCAAGGGCTTGAATTTGCAGAGGCAAATTTACTATCCATCCATCCATTCATTCAAGACATGTATACCCCATGTATACCAAAATAGGTCTCAAAATGGCTCACATCAGTAACAGCACAGTTAAAATGCAATTTAAAACTATGTAATAAAAATAGCATCAAATCGTCAAATATTTCTCATCCTAGTGGCCCCAGTCTCCTTCCTTCCCTTGCCTCTGAGCAAGCTCTCTGGATCTTCCCTGAGGTTTATTTTCCAGCCTGGGTGAAGCAGCCAGCACACTGTCTGTGGGCAGGGGAAGGAGGTTTGAGTGCTGATTTCTCTAGCTCTGAAGTTGAAGCTTTGTTTCCAGTCTTGGAATGGGAATCCAAAGAATCCTATGGCCCCTTAGATGCTGTCTTACAAAGTAAATGGAACCCCTGCTTTTCTCTCCCATAAGAAAAAGACAGAAAAAATAATGGCAGTACCACAAGGAGGGCACAATTTCACAGAAGTAGGTAGCAGGGCTGAGCACAGCACTAGCTCAGATGGCAAAGGAGCATGGCAGAATGTTGAGGTGACTCTCCTGTCCATTGCTGGAGACTGCAGAGGTATGAGTAGGATCAGACCTAGATGTTTGTCCTTCATCTCTCACAAGCCATCAGGCAGACATAGAACATGTACAGAGGAAAAGGTGCTGCCCATCCCTTAGTGCCATGCCAAGACCTAGGAGAGTGGCTGTATGTGCTGTTTTATTGAGGAGTGTTCTCTGTTTGAAGGGCTGCCAAAGGACTTACTTGAAGGCATTTCCTGTTTGAAATGTCTGCCTTGTTCAATTGCCTTTTAATTTACAGAGCCTAAGAACTGTTGCCCATCAATGTCTGTCACCTGGAGAGCCCACAGATCACCTGGCCACAGTATTCTGCACTGTAGTAGACTACAGCATATTTCTATGAAAATTATAAGTCTAATAAAATTATAGCGATTCAATCTGAATTTGCATTTCTGTACATTTACTGTACATAGTCGGGTGGGAATCTCCATTGGACCAATTTAATTTCCCCAACTTTTAAAGTTACTATTTTTTGACTCTGTGTGGAGAATTTTGAAGGAAAAAAAAATGGTAGGATGGAAAGGTCAGGCTTCCCTTGCAGACTCATGGTGGTCCATCTAAATCACATTCTGTCAAGCTTATTACTTCCGCTCGGTCCTACTATAAGGAATGCAAGCGTATTTTCAAAAGTAGACATGCATATCCCAAGACCCCTGTGCTTCAGGGAGTTCCAATATTGGATGTAACAGATGGAGCTCCATGGGTACATAGATCATTTTGATTTGCCACTGCCAACAACTCCAAGGCCTCTTTTGTGAAGAAGGGATTACATTACTAGATTGTGGTTGTACTAGGTGCAGAAAGGAAAGAAGTATGAATGTGCTATTTTCTGTGGGTTTATAAAAGCAAGGACTGAATCTAGGACATTGTGATATACATATTAAACCTATTATTTATTTATTATTATTTAATATGTGATATACATATTAAACCCATTAATAATATGTTTAATATTAAACATATTAAATCCTAGAATTGGATGGTACTTCAAAAGTCATCTAGTCCTCTCTTCCCCACTCACTGCAGGATGGGTAATGCTGGGATACTGCTTCAACATCCCAGACAGATGGCCACAAAGCCTCTTCTTAACACCTCAAGCAAAGTAGAGCCCACCATGTCCTGGGGTAGTCTGTTGAAATATTGTCATTTTAATATTAGTGTACAGCACCTCAGATTTTCTAAAATTGAAAAGCAGGTTATACCGTATTTTTTGCTCTATAAGACACACTTTTCCCCCCCTCAAGAGTAAGGGGAAATGTCTGTGCGTCTTACTGAGTGAATGTGTGTGTGCCCGACGCCCGGGACGCTGCTGGCCCGCCTGCACCACGTGGCACCACCTGGCCGGCACGCGCTCGGTGCGCCCTGCTCCGCCCCCCACCTCCGGCGCAGGTGAGAGCTGTGCCGCTCAGGGGGAGGCGTGCGGAGGAGGAGGAGCCGCATGGAGAGATGGACTGCTCACCCTCACCGCCCGGGAAGACCTGCCGTGGAGGAGGAGGAGCTGCGGGCTTTAACCCACTGGCCAAACGGAGAGACGGACTGCTCACCCCCACCACCCGGGAAGACCTGCCACCGCTGCACCGCCCGGAAGACCACCGCTGGCACGCTGCCGGCCCGGTTGCACCACGTGGCACCACCTGGCCAGCACGTGCTCAGCGCACCCTGCTCCGCCCCCCTCCTCCGGCGCAGGTGAGAGCTGTTAATCACAGGTCGGTGTGAGTTTTCAAATGGCAACCCGTCTTTTAATGAAGCCCATGGGGAAGTGATGGGGAATGTGCCTGTGATTATCAGGAAGCTTTCCATGGATCCCTCCTCTAAAAACTAGGTGCGTCTTATGGTCAGGTGTGTCTTATAGAGCGAAAAATATGGTAATTTCAAAACAAAGGTCTGATTTTAAGGAGGCATAGCTTGGCAGTCTGAATTAGGGGCTGACAATGTAGGGTATGCCTGGACTCCCGAGTAGACCTGCTGAACCCCACCAGCAGAACCCTGGCTGTTCTGTTTGCTGTCCTCACCTTCCCCTCATCTCTGCAGCCACGAAGCAGGCAGTCTCCCAATAGGCTACTTCGTACTTTCTTGTAGCTGAGTTGGGCCATAAGAGGCAGTGGTGGCAGAAGGGGTGGTGCTGCCTGGCTGACAGATGAAGTGACAGCAGTAGCACACACGGGTGGCAGGGGGAAGAGGAAGAGGAAGGGGTTTCACGAGGAGATGGAATCCCAGCTTGCCATTCTTTCTCTATATGTGTTTGTGGTTCTGCTCATGTTTTGTATTCTCAGCAGTTTTGTTTTTGTTTTTTGCTGATGTTTGGTTTTGTTGAAAGATTGTAAAAATAAAATAAGAATACAAATATTTAAAAAGAAAGGGTCCAAAATATTGTCCCATGTGTCTGTGGTCCTGAAAAATTTGACTGCCTCTGCTCTACACGGAATTGTGGGTGCTTCCAGCTCCTCAATGGGCCAGCCCTGTTATCTTGTATAAACTGGAACTTTAAACAGAAAAGGAAGTTGGCATCGGTCGAGAAACAGGAAATCTTCACTTGTGCATTGGAGACTTCAAGATCCGACACAGAAAAACACAGTTTTAGCAAGGGTTTTTGAATAAAGATAGTGGGCAAATCAAATGCTAGGAACGCTATCATTTCCAGTGGCTCTGCAGCATTTCATTTAGATGTCTCGTAAATGTATACATTTTTAGACTGAGCATCTCTCACTCCTATTAGGAGTTGCAATGGCTGTTAAGGCAAGTGATGACAAGAAGGTTTGGCCAGGACGTCCATTTCCTCATCCCCTTAAATGAGCAATCCATTTATGGGGAATGGAATTGAATGGAGAAAACCAAGAGAGAGTGCTATTATTTGAATGGAGATTGGAGCATCTCTCTTTTAACAGCTGTGGATATTTGCTCAATATGCAGCTCTGATGAAAAAGAAGATAAAAGATATGCTGGGATATAGAAAATGGAGTAGGTAATTGCAGGGAAATAACTTTGCTGAATGGATGATAACACCATTCGGTATGCAAGCATGTTTCATCTAGCATTGTCATTTTTATTTTGCAAAGGAGACTGAGGAATTTGAATCAGCTGAGCCATGAGATCTATCAAAGATGAATGTATTTAAAAAACTCCCTTAGGAGGAGAGATAATTTATATGTATCAAATGCCGGAACTCAAAGGGAAGCTAGCAAGCTAACCCGAGGGAGAAAGCACTCCCCCCCCACACACACACCCTGCATCTTCCTCTGCTTTTATAGGATATGTGGAAGCTTCCCAGAGTCTTCCATCCAGGTCTGCATAGCTTTACAGGTGAGATTATATTGGAGTCCTTCAACAGGCCCTAAAATGCACTGAAAACCCCATCTAGATGCCATAAGGCTGAACTGGATGTCACATAACACACACAGCATGTGACAATCCCACTCTCCCAGTTCAGGTGTTTATATAATAGGAACAGGAGCCATGGGTGGCTTTGTGGCTGGGCAGAGGAATGGCTGAGACAGAGTATGCCTCCCACAAATGGAAAGAAGCTGAGCTAGGAGAACAGAAAATTGGAAAGATGACAGCGAGTTATGCAGCTCCTACCTAAATTCACAGCCTGCCATGGCCGCTTTTCATTTTAGAACAAGCAAATGTAGAAGGTCTTTGCATGCATTTGTTGGCTAATGCTTAGCTTGGCCCAACATCTCAACAAAATGTGTCATTCTATCTCTGTTTTTAGGTATTGGTTTATACTGAACTCTGGCTACAAGGCTGCATTTCAATCAAACAGCTCAGGCTGCACCATCATCATTCATGCAAAAGTAATTGGTGAAATGGCTGATATAAGCATGCTCCGGCTATTTAAGACCTTCTTGGAAAGTACACCCCAGCTTATTCTTCAGGTATATATCCTTATGATATCTGATAACTGTACCTTCAGTCAATGTAAGTCTGATGTATAGTTATGCAAAGCCAAGAAGAGCCATGCTGGATCATATTAAGCCCTGTCTATTCTAACAGTGACCAACAACCCAATTCCTTGTAGGGTGTTGCCCATGAACAAACCACACTGTGGTTCTCACAGCATGGCAATTACCCATGGCTTATAAAGTACAGTGGATTAAGGTCTCATGTGAACAGATACTAACAGCCTTGGACCATTAGATCCAACTCACATATCCTGCTCAAATGTCTTGGATGCTCTCAGTACATCATTCAAGAGATGCTTAAAATAAAGTCACATTCAAATTTAGTATAAGTTCAGAAAGTTCATGCTGTGTCTAAAGGAAAGGGATTATTCAGGCAAATTTCCCCTTCCCGCTCCTCTCCTATATCCAACAGCAACTCATGCAAAAATTCTCTGGGGCAAGGAAGGGGCACTGAGCAGCTGGTGATTGCTCAGCCCAGGTAGAAGCAGGTTTTCCTTTCTGACAGTTGGCAATGGCCAAGCAGCAGCCTCCACCTCGTAAGAGGTGGAGGTCATATTTCACATACTGATATGGACTAACCAGCCAGTTGTTTGAGTGGACCTGCCAACATCTGGAAAAGTGCTTTAGAACATAAGGTGACATGTCTCCATCAATGTCATCAGCTGCTATTGCTCCCCATCCTCTTTCTCATGATTGCTACTAATTGCTTGCTTGAGAGGCAGTGAGTCAGTGAACAAGTAAGGTGTGGAAAATGCACCTTCTTACCACCACTATTATCTGGGCCAGAGAAAGAGATGAACAAGCAGGCAATGGTAAAGAAAGGAACAACCCCAGGAGACATCAGTAAGCCCCTGTTGGGGTATGGGCCCTTGGTAGGTGCCCAAGCGTGCCTACCTTTGATGCCAGCCCGGACAGCCACCCATATTCTGTTAGTTGTGCAACATTCTGTCATTTTGGAGTATAGTATAGTCCTAGGCAAGGTGAAAGTTTGAAGACAGCTGCTTGAATGCGTTCAGACCATTATAGACAGCTGGTGAAGGTTTTAATTAGATACCAGGTCCACAGGGATACTGGGGGCTGTCTGCCTGTCCACATCCTTCTTCATATTTTATTTTTTCACTATTTATTTGCAATATTTCTATTTTTAATTAAATTAGGTTTAAAACATGAATTTGAAAACAAGACAGAGCTCAGTAATGTAGAACATCATTCAGTTATGGTTCAGGGAAAAATGGGGTAAGTTTGTTGTTGTTTTTAAAGGACAAGTTTTAAAGACACAATTCTGCTTCCTGAATTTCATAAGGGAGTTCTTTCCACAGAGTGGGGGTCCCATCTGAGAAGGCCCACTGCTGAGGTATTGTATAGCAAATTCCAATAATTTTGAAATGGCCAGTAAGGCCTCCTCAGATAACCTTAGCAGTAAATTGGATATATATAAGGGAAGGCAATATACTAGGTATTCTGGTCCTAAGTTGTTTAGGGATTTATTTGACAGTAGCGTAACTTTGAACATGGGTTACTAGCAAATGTAAGTTCAGAAATGGTTGAGAATAGAGCTGCCCAGTTGTTAACAGAGACAGGCAGATATGAACATATAACACCGGTCCTTTACCACCCAAACTGGCTACCAGTTGAAGACCAGGCCCTATATAAGATCCCAGTGATGACCTCTAAAGCCTTAAATGGCTTGGGACCTGGTTACCTGAAGGAGGATCTCCTTCTATATGTGCCTGCCCGCTCCTTAAGATCTGGGTCGGGTGCCCTTCTCCAGGAACCCTCCTTGAAGGAGATTAGGAGGGTGGTTACCCAGTGAAGGACCTTCTCTGTGGTGGCACCCTGCTTGTGGAGTAGACTCCCCAGAGAGGTTTGCCTGGTGCCATCACTTTATTCTTTTTGGTGGAGGGCTAAAACCTTTTTGTTTTCCCAATATTTAAAGTTTGACTGTTATTTTAGTATGGGTTTAATACGGTAGAATTTGATTAGGATGCTGTGTTTTATTTTATTTTTGTCTTACTGTTAAACCTTCCTGAGACTTCAGTAAGGGATCGTTTAAAAAAAAGTTTTAAATAAACAAACAATATTTTATTAGCTTTTATTTTTGTAGTGTTTGTTGTATTTTAATAGATTTTATTATCTGTAGTGTTTTTATTCTTGTTGATATATTTTTATTCTGTAAACTGCTCAGAATGTCCCATGGGCTCTATGGTTGTATACAAATGTAATAAATAAATAATAGGTAGACATTGTAGTTCTTTAAGCACAGGTCTTATGTGAGCATAACTGAATGTCATTTAGCCTGAAATCCTCTAGCAGTTAGTAAATGCAATTTATATGAACTAAAATTATGTCTACTTAGTTATTCTGCCTTATTCTTTTAGTGAAGATTTAATATAGCAATATGGAAGTTCTTTTTCTAACAGACCTAATGTTTTTCTTTTCTTTCTTATTTTAGATGTTTTCATTGCCATCACATTTGGCAGCATTTCATGTGCAACTTTGGACTATATGATAGCTTTATGGAAATCCTTGCCTGATAAAAATAAATTTACTAAGATATCTTCCAAAATAATGTATCTTTTGTATTAACTGTTGACTTTGACATCTGGGATACTTAGCATTGTGCTGATTGCGGGGCTCAGCACTGCATGTGCCATCATTCTAGTGGTTCTCCTTTGGTTCAGTATAATTTGGGTATTGAAACAGCACACTGCATTTTGCAAAACCAAAGCTGCAGAAATTGTTTACAGGACTGTTGTGGGAATCATTCTTGTTTTCACCTTTTTTAATATTAAGGGAGAAAGGACAAAAATTCCCATGTCTGTTTATTTTGTCAGTCGGGTGTTTTTAACCCTAGCAATAATGTGTATCTGTATATTCTCAAAATCAATGTTTAGTGTGCAAGTATACTTGTCAGCTGTGATTATTACAGTTGTTATCACCCTAGTATTAGGTATTGCTTTTCTTTGTGTTTATTATGGACTTTTTCATCCTACTATTTATTACACTCAAGATGTAGTTGATGGACCAGATGCAGTTGATGGACCAAGAGGTGAAAGACAAGAAACCTGTAGAATAAGGACATTCCTGATGCAATAAATCAAATGGAACCAATAGTTGCTTCTTCGTTTTGTTTCTGAAATGGTCTGTCTTTTATTTTTTTATCTTTAAAGCAAAGTAAAACAAAATGTAAATAGTGTTCATAAACTGTATTTATATGTTCTAAAAATAGATGGGAAATAACATACGTTCATTTCACATGAACTGAACCAACATAGATTTTCAGGTTTGCTTCGCTACTGAAGATTTGGGTAGGAACAGCAACTCCATGTATCTGTAGTAGTGGCGGCAGCGGTGGGGTATGTGTGTGTGTGTGTGTAATCATGTATCTCAGCTTCAGAGCTGACAACTGTCACTCGTGCCTTTTTATGCCAAGGCTTGATTGCAGGAATGTGTTCTTCATGGTGTTTCTCTTGAACAACGCAGCTGATGCAGAGTGCTTTGGACGCATTCATTTGTCAGTGGCTTATTGTGACACTTATCTAGGATGTGTCCTGCTTTCTGATAGTCTCATAGCACAACTTATAGTGCTAGATTTGATAGAAGATTGTATTTGTGGCAAGCTGCCATTCCTGGCTGGAATTCTGAATACCGAGCAGTGATATAATATGCCGGGAGTTGGTGGGGGAATGGGGGGGGGGGAGGAATAATTTATATTATGTGTTGCACTTTGTTTTCCTTTTTAGGCTTTGCTTTTTTGTACAATCTGTATAGGCAAATATTGCCATGAATATTAATTTTCATGTAATGTACATGAAATTACAGTTGCATTTCTTTCTCATCATTTGATGTCACACATTTTACCAGTGTGCCTCCCTATGGTGAGATTGAAGCAATGCTACATGGGCTATGTACTGATGTTTGAACCTCCTCCTCCATGGTCAAAAATGTCACAACTGCAAATGGTTTATTATGTAAACAAAAGGGGATGTTTTATACATCTTGAAGAGAAGTAATCTCCTTAGTAGAGCAGAGCCCATAGGATTTTTCCAAATGTTGCTTTTATATAGGCCAGAAGCATGGAATTGAAGGTACCTCTTAAAGAGCCACTTCTTGTTTGGTTAGTTTAAGCCTACAAAAGCTGTCCTGACACAAGATTCTGCCTGGCTGATGAGTGACTAAAATAGGAACCACTCCTCTTAACTTGTGGCATGTATCCTGTTTCAGATACTAATCATCTGCAAATTACCTTACTGTGGTAGTGGCATTGGTGGAATTATTAGTATGTGACTAAAAAAGTCATCTATAGCAAATTTTAGAGTGAACTGATGGAACTGGTACCATCCCAATATCAAGGTTGGCCCTCCCATGAGGCAGGGCTTAGCCTCCAACTCAACTAGCAGAGCAGGAGAAGTGGCAAATTGCTCTGCTTTGCTCATCTTGCTCTCCCAGGAGGGCCCACTGCCACCTCTGGTAGGTGCCCTGGAGAGCCCTGGAAGCTGCATTTATCAGAGTGGCTGGCAAGAGGTTCTGAAGCAGTGACTCTCCCAAGCTTGTATCTGATGAAGCGTTTTGGCCTGGCTGGCTCTCTGAAAAGCCACACTGGCTGCTTCTTCAGCAGCACGGCTGGGTGAAGCAAAAGTAATGGGGTGGTAAGAACAGAAGTAAAAGAGAAGGAATGTGAGTTGCCACATGGTGATGGCACATAAGCTCTCTTGCTCGAGGCAACAGCAGAGGTGGTTTTGAAGCCAGACATTTCATACATTGTGGAGAGCATCCTTCCTTCCTCTTCAAATGGACCACTTAAAGCACTTTCTGAACCTGGACCATAATAGAACATTAAATAGAATGGCCTCAGCATTTTAAATTGATGTGGGAACATGAGTTTACCACAGATTCTAACCTTCTTGCTTTTTTGTGCTAGCTGCAAACAAATGTGATTTATTTGAAGTACATTTTTGGTTCTCTATGCATTATGTTTTTCCATGGCTTTTGGCTGTGTACAGAAGTGGGCACAATTTATTTAACTATCTCTCCACATCTTGGTCACCTATGAAATAGTCAGGAAAATGATCAGATGTACTGATATTTTTTGTTTGCCTTTAAAGACACTTTCTTTAACAGGAAAGATACAATAAGCATCTGTAGAACTGACAAGGGTCGACAAGGGTTGAAGAATTGACAAGTTGACTACCCAACTTAGTCAATTTCATGAAGTTCAGAGGCTTCTCCTGGTAAAATAGAACTTATGTCCAGTTATAAATGTTCATTAACAGATGATGTAGAAGGTTATTGAATGATCATTAAAGTCCTTGAAAATGCATGTGTGATTTCAGTTCACCTCTCCAGCCATCTTGAAGGACAACTGTTTTGTCATGTTATTTCTTGATTTCTCCACATGAGGGCTCCTTTGTAAGAAATAAGAACGAGTGACTGTAGAATTACACTGAAATGTAATGCTGGGATTTTCCTGTAAACATTGCCTAGAAGAACAAACCCTAAGGCTCTACCAGTCAGGTGAGTTTAAACCATTTAGTGTCAATTGAATGTGCTGTGTTAGTTCTAATGAATCTGAGGTTATGCCGTAACATAGAAATATGGACATAATCAATTGCTGTACTTCAAATAACAACTGGTTACCTCAAAAATAAAATGATAAAGTCATCTAGGATTTCAGCCCATTGCATATGCATGAACACTTCCACCTTCTTTTCTGGGCAGCCCTTAAAATTCAGCTGCCAGTCAGCCTGTGGATTGTGCTTGACCTTGTCATTTTAATCTAACTGCAAATTGAAAGCAAATGTTATTTTTCCCTCCGCTCCAGGATGGCCATGACATCTTGCAACAAGTATTTTAATAAGTTAAATGAAAGATAATAAACAATTTCTTCCTGTTTTGACTACTGTCAGTGCTGTGGATGAGGGACAGGATTCCACCAAATCATTTTAATTACCCTGCTGGTCTCAGTTGTGACATCTGGTGGCACTGGTGAGCTTACCCAATGTGCCACAGAGAGTCGTGATTTATGAAGCTGTAATTGGCTTTCCAATAAACATTTGTCAAAATAATGTACTCATTCAAACCAAAGCCTGCTTTATATGTTCATATAAAAGAGCACTTAACTTTCAGCAAAGAATTGTCTGCCATCAAAAACACTCCATAAATGGGGAAAATTTATGAAGACTAAGTACTGCATGGTGATCAGTAGAGGACTAAAGTTCACTTTGAACCACTGGACTGTTGAATTCTGCTTTGTGCTGACTGATGCTATATGTATCTCTCGCTATCTCCCCAAGACTTCTACTCAAAACTCCATTTTTGTTCATATTCTGGCATAAAAATGGAAATCTATTTTTCAGCACTAATTATTTCCTGAGCAATTTGTAGGTAATTAGAAACACAAGACAGTCAGGACACAGAAAACCAGGATAGGATGCAATAAAGAGCAAATGCGATTAGCTGGAAGATTTTTCCAAAATTACTAAGCTCATTTAAATGTTTGTGGTGGAACTTCAAATAAAACTATATAAATTAGGACTTGAATGGTTGCCATAGTTGCTCTTGAAAATTACTACCAGTTAGCTACAAGACTATTGCTAATTCATTGCAATGGATAGACTTGGGAATGACACACACGTATTGAAGGCCATGGGTCAGACATGGTCTCTGTCATATGCCTCTTCTGAGATAGTCATACAATCAAAAACAGTATGAAGTGTTGAGCAGTTTGATGTTCATACGCTGGGAACAGTGTCATGGACAATCTGTTCTAGGTTATATAAAATGGGTAAAAGTGGTAGCATACTGAAAAGTAGAATCCTCAATGCAGAACTAGAATTTCCTTGAATGTTCCTTTATGGAACATTTCCAGTGAATGAGAGTCTACAAACTCCCTAGTCAGTATCTTCCAAACTGTTTTTGTATGCGGAAATAACTTAAATCCTAACATAGAGATAGTGCACATTTGACTGTCCTAATGGTGTTGCACTACGACCCCTGTTATTCCCCACCTTTGGTTATGCTGACTAGGGCTGATGGGAGTTGCAGTCCACCAAAATCTGGCGGTTAACAGATTCTCCATCCCTTTCCTAAGACATCTGATGCTGAAAAGGCATATGCAAGTACATATATGCAGCTTGCATATGATTGATGGCGCATTTATGGCTTTGGTCTCTAGATATGGAGCTCCAGATAGGGAAGTTTTGATTAGCTCACTGGCATTAATCTAGAGCACAGGGACATTGTTATTTACAAAGAAACTAAATATTTAATCAGGCATAGGAAAGCTGTTTATCATTTAGTGTGAAGAAGCAGCCGTAAGGCTGATCTCACTTGTTTGCTGTCATGAATGTTTACCTGAACAACCACTGGGACCTTGGCCTTGCTTTCAACTTTACTTGTATGGTTATATAAACTGGGCAGAGCAGACATGGCAATAGTTTGTGAAAAACAGTTCCCTGAATGACAAGTAGAACATGATTTGGATTGACCTTTTCAGACTTGCTATCACAAAATGTGGCTACAATTTGAGCAAATGCAGCAGTAATATTGTTACTATTGCATTTTCTGCTGAACACTGCTATTTGTTAAAAATGAGCATTTTGTAAAATTTGTAGAATTATTTCAGAAAGAATAACTATTTGGTCTTCATGGTTAGACACTTTAAAAATAAGATTCAGTTCTGTACATGTTTAAAACCTTTGTTGCTGTTGTTAGTTGCAAAGTCGTGTCCGACCCATCGCGACCCCATGGACCACATTCCTCCAGGTCTTCCTGTCCTCCACCATCCCCTGGAGTCCACTTAAGCTCACACCAACTGCTTCAGTGACTCCATCTAGCCACCTCATCCTCTGCCGTCCCCTTCTTCTTTTGCCCTCAATTGTTCCCAGCATTAGGCTCTTCTCCAGGGAGTCCTTCCTTCTCATTAGGTGGTCAAAGTAATTGAGTTTCATCTTTAGTATCTGACCTTCTAAAGAGCAGTCAGGGTTGATCTCCTCTAGGACTGACCGGTTTTATCACCTTGCAGTCCAAGGGACTCGCAGGAGTCTCCTCCAGCACCACAATTCAAAGGCCTCAATCCTTTGGCGCTCAGCCTTCCT